TGTTGTGTCTCTGTCCTCCCTTGAACTTGTTCGTGAATTTGATATCAACTAAGTGTTCACAGGCTGAAGGTTTCGGAACATTGGGTTGGGGGTTGGAAAGGATTCTCCGCCCTGAATACATTTACAGTAGACATTTTATTTCATCAAGTTCCAAGCGGTCTCTCTGTCCTGAAGTATCGGTTATCCTGCGCCTGAACTGACAGTTAATTAGATATATTCTGAAAGACAGAAAAAATTTCTATAAGACTAAAAGACAGAAATCTATTATTTTAAAATCATTTAAGTATTAAATATTTGCTTGACTACGTGCCAACGCATGTTTTGAACCAATAGGTACCTCGGTATAGAGGTGTACTGACAAACAACAGACAAACTGACTGCGACGTTTGTTCTGACGTGACTTTGTAAATATTCTCTTTGAGAGAAGAGGGGCTTCATTGTGGTGAAGGCTCGAGCTGGACGTGAACGGCGGGAAACCTCCTCAAGATATTACACAGAGTTGCGCCGAGGCTTAGTAGCGTCTTTCGGAAGATTTGTTAATAGACTAATCAAACAACATTTAATTTAAAGATAAATCTTATCTAATATTCGTAATTTGCAGTTAACAACATTAATATCATAATTCCTTCGTAACAAGGCGATACTCTAAAATACTTGCATACGTTCCGTCATGACCTATGCAAGTGTTCGCTCACGTGACCTGCCTACACATTAACTCTCTCCAGGTCATCTAATCCCGTTTCTGCAGAATAGCCGTTGGAGCAACGCGGTGCGTGAAGAATGTTGACCTTTATGACGATCTAAATTTAAAACTGATACGTAACCCTAAGGTAGCGTCAGAACGCTACTTCGACAAAGCGGCGCGACACGATAACCCTCTCATCATGGCCGCCGCTAATTACTTATCCGACTTAGGCGACGGGGCAACACACAACAAACATGTCTTGTCGGATCTCCGGATTCAATCTCTATGGCACAGAGGCGATGCGATGTACCGGATCTCGCTCCGTATCGGAGTTATTTGGACTTGGCAAGTCCTGGTCGGCAGGTCAAGCATTGAGAGTCCTAACAGACCGTAACGATACTCCGGGTTTAGACAAAAATTTGTTCTTCACATAGCACAGGCTCGGCATGTGATACTCGCATGAGGTACTGCTTCCGTTTTTGACCCGAGCTCACAAACACCAGGACTTTTCATTTGCCTCCGTACAGAAGAGGGCCGTACCCTTTCTCGATCGTTTGGATTCTTCGGATCTACGAGGACCTCTGCTCTCAGTACTCTGTACTGTAAGCTCCATAGGGAATGTTATACGAAACTGTTCGAAATGATTCCGTCATTTCATTTTTACAATAGCGACGCTCTGCACCGGAGTACAATTAAGTAATTCACTCTACCAGGGTGGTTCTAACCACTGATTTCATCTACAATGCTTCTTCTATCCGCGAGTCCTCCAGCTTTAGAATAAACTTTAGTTCACGTGTTTTTCGAGAGCTATGTATGTCATGTCCTTCTTCAAGTCACGAGACTTGGGGGAGTTTTCAGCGGTAGGTAGCGGTTTAAATGTGACCCTGACATTGCTGACGTCCATGAACAATGGAGATCACTCACCATGCGGTGGGCCGCATACTCGTGGAATGTCGATCGTAACAAGATACGGTGTACGGGATACATGTCTGCCGCTGTAGCTATTCTCACTGTCTTGTCCCCAATGTAGATGGGTCGATGATTTTACAGCACATCTGATGTAAATTGATTATTAGAGACATTCTATTTGACTCTCAGCTGACGCATTAACTGACTATCACAACTTGCTTTGAGAAAAGGTGCAAACCAGTGTTATATCGATGGCTAACCTAACATTCAGACCGGGACACGTTGTAATTGACGTTAGAACTAGGTAGAACGGTACCTTCTCAGCGGGTAAACAACTGTACAACCACTAACTGCGCAAATTTTATTTTTGCCGTCTTGGTTCGAAAACAATGGCATTCGTGAACACGTCATAGAATATGCTTTCGAATTGCCTGTCTCGAGACTGTGCACTGGCCAACGGGATGTGAACTCCGACACGGTCGCGTACACTCTATGCGAGTGTACCCGGCGACTTATCCTTTAGGCCACAGTGTTCCTTGTAAACACATAAACAACTGCGCAGCCTGTAACTACCGGGTACTGCTTGCACGCTCCAGACACAACGCGCAGTCCACTGTTGTCCCTCGGCCGATCAGGAACGTATATAATCTCACTACTCGTCTGACCATCTCTAGTATCTTATCTAGGTCATTACTGATGAAATACTCGTATATAAAGAAGATTCCCGTCTCTTATTAGCTAAATATACAGAGTCCATGTGGGGGCCCGGTGCCCGACCGCGTGTGGTTTGCCCTCGATTCATTATTTATTTATGAAACATGATGCAGATGTACACATGTGCATTTTCACCACTACTTGCTACAATGTTATGTGAAACGTAGTCTGAGCAAAGTTCGCGGCCCTGTTGGATATGCAGATGTAATGTCTCTATGAACATCAAAGAGGGACTAACAGCACATAATCTTCACAAGGACAACGCTACGAAATAAAAACGAATAAACTGTAACGGTCGCGGCCTGTAACGGCCTAGAGTGCGGAGTGCGGAGTGCTGAGTGCGGAGGTCAGTCGTCACGAGCGGAGCGCCTCGTAAACTGTTTAGTGAGGTACCGATGCCGCACTCTCTCTCCGACACTAAAACGACGACACAAAACCAACAACGCAAATAAAACGGCCAACGCGTACGGAGGACCCCGTGCCGCCCGCCGCCCGCCGCCACCCCCACACCCCCGCGGCCCTATATAAACCGGGGATTGCATCGTTTGCACCCTTTATAGCGTAAACGACACTGTAGCCAACTAGCCACCTACAGCAGCCTCGCACTCGACTCATGCTATAAACAACACTATGGTTTCACTGACCGAATGCCGATGCCATCTGCCCTGGTTGCTGCTGGGATGTCATCTATCTAACCTATTTTAGATTATGAAGTTCAATTAGTAAACAGATGCTGCGTTACATTCTAACAATATAGAGTAGCAGGTAGGCTGAAATCTTCCTATGATGAGAGCTTCATCCGTAATAATACATAAGAATATACACCTACATAGAATGTTTGGTTTGAAGGTGCCTTCCTCGTCCTCGTATCTGGCGCGGGATCGTCGGAAGCAATTCTCCTTTATAGGATCATTAAAAGGAACGGGCGGGATGGAATGGTCTCATTATCTCATTATACAAATATCCCCATGTGCGTAAATTGTGCAACCGATGAACCTACGTCTTCCTCATTCGATGCCACGGACGGGCGCCACGAACGCCACGGAGGGAACAAAACGATGCGTTACGGAGTAAACAAGGCTATGTATCTTCGAGAATTGCTATTACCGATCGTTCGGTGGGTCGGTGTTAGTATGTAGTAGTAGATTTGTTTAACGAGCTACCACTTTACGACTGTGATTTGAGTATAATTATAATATATAAAACAACGAATGAGTGATTCGCGGAAACATTGGGCAGACAATTGTATCAATCGTAAAATATCTTTAATGCATTCCTGCACGTGTGTGCATGAGAATATCCAGGACCTACTTTTTGGTGACTGAGGTGTCTGTAGAGCTCCGATGTTTTCATTAATTTCATCCCAAAACTATCTTGATCCCTGAATAAAGTCCAGGAGTCAGCTTAATGTACTAGTCCAAGCTACAACTCGGATATAATTATGACACTCGCCTCTAACATACTCAGGAGGGTTGTGCCGATATCATATAAAAGGAATGGCCAAGTCTGACGTGATGTTAGATAGTTGTCATAAATTCAAACTTTTTTAATGTTGATAATTGGTTCTTAGTCTACTCTGTTTAGTAATTTATGAAGTCATTGACGAGTATGTATCTTTAGGGATGCTTTAGAATTCATTTTCCTGACTAGAAATTGAAATGGTACTCTTTCAATAAATGTGGCAACACATTGACCTCCAATGATAAGTTCCAGATCCTAAGAGCTATGGTGGACCGTCTACCCAGACACGGACAGTGGCATTTACGTGGTTTTGTCCATATGCACCGGCCCATTTAATAATTCCTGACTTTATTTTTGGGTACGTGCCACTTTTGCCAGATTTTCTGCAGTGGCTGAGATTAACTTTGTGTATTCATTATTGAACTGAAACCGATAGCCCCACTAAGGACCAGCGAATATTGTTTTTTACTATAGCAGATACACTGGGCGTGCCCGGTTCGTGTCATTTAGCTGGTATTTGGGAGCACGCCCCCAGAGATGAAAACAGTATTCCACGCGAGCCCGGAATTTTGCTTTGTAAACCAAAATTATTTGTCCAAGTGATGTACCACTTCGCCTTATTGAGAACCCTCTGGATTTTTTGTTGGTGACAGCTTTACCCTTCCAACGACTTCGATAACGACCACTGCTAAAAAGGTCGACACCATTTTTAATCTCTTCTTTGGTTGAAGATCGGTGATCCCTGAATTCTGCACTGCTCAGGATTGCACGATACAAAATTTATTCTCGGTGGGAGTCAGTTTATCAGTCTCTTTGTTACCCTGAACTGGTTCTTTACTCTAAAAAAAACTTGCGCTATTTTTCGCTGTTTTTCCGTTTATGGCCCTCCTCCTCTTTTCGTTTTGTTTCCCAGGGGACTGAAATATCTGAACCGATTTTGAAAACTGTTTTTGGCATATACAAAACTCTCATACAGCCTACTTACTGTTCACCGGCATGACACTCACCAGATACCAACAGTACTGCTTCAGTGACGTCACGCTGACCAGCCGCGCCCCCTCGTGCGACGTTCTCGCGAAGCCAATATTGTATATCTTTTCACCGTGTTAAAATATGCAATCTAAATTTTCATAAAATGTATTAAATTATATAAAATGATACGTTGATTTTATATATAATACATAAGTGGCTGTGTATATGTTATATATGTATATGATGCTGTTGGTTCCAGAGACGTGTCCAACAACAACATCTCGTCGCTGCCGCGCGACGCCCTGCTGCCGGCCACGGGACTGCGCGACCTGTGAGTACACATCCTGTATCTTTCTTTTTTGGGAAGGAAGAATTATTACTTGCCCGGAGGCCTTTCAAGTTTCATCTGGATATGTCATGGTCAGGGGGGGTGAGATATTTACTTGTAATGGCCGATTACTTGCATGACGACCGCCACTATCCCACAGGTCCCAATGGTTTATGTTTGTGTAAAAGAGAAAATTGATACTAGTCATTTATATAACAAATCTAATAACGACAACAACATGTTATTAATTCGCGTTTTTATTATCACCATTTACTTCTGACATTTCCAATCCTTTATAGTTTTTGTGGTGACGGACGACGAAAGTGCCATTAGTCGATATTACATACGAAAATCTTAATCTGTTAAGTAGAGTATACCCCTGCAGGAGCACGGTGTCTATAAACTGGACTGCGACTGAAGGATCTCATACAGCCCATTGCGGGTGTCCAGAATAACCGGGGACACAATACTGCAGCTTGTCCACTGGCTCCGGACAGTGGCACCAACTAATTTATGAAATTTGATAAAATCCAACACTACCACAGGCACTGACGCTATGACCCCGAAGTGGGTCTTAGCATCCGACAGTATAGTACACGAAACCATTCAAATAACCAAGCTTTTTAACTTTAGTAAAGAAATTGATGGTGTTTTCTAACACCTGGAATCGTCTCATCGTGAAGATAAGAAAACCCAAGCCAAACGAACAGCCAGGCTTGAAGATATCGTTACTTGTTATGTAATGAAACATACAAGCGTTGAAAAGCTTTTTATATATAGATAACCGTTAGTGATCCGTATGTATAATCGTGACCACGACAACTGTCAAATAATCGCATAAAATAAACGTCGGAAATAAATAGGGACAGTAAAAAACGCGAGATCAAACAGTGTAAGTCGTAATTTTCTCTACGACTGACGAAAACTGCAGAAAATACATCGATAAGTAGTGTGAGTGGAAAAACTTAATCAAAACAAGAAACATGCGGATCGAATGCACCACTACGAAACACAGTCAAGCTGCGGTCCACGTTTAGAAGACATTAACAACATTACATTTCACTTGCACATTGGAAAAAGCGAACAGTACGAAAATACAATAAAGTATATTTGATGTACGAGGCTCGTTCTCGAGACTCACACAGTCAGCGTCTCCGGGGAGAGCTATCAACTTGGAGAGGTCCACTTTATGAGAGCCCCGAACATGCTGAATGATATTGTATTTTGTAAGCGAAACGAACGACCATAGATCATCTATTTGGAGAAGGCCCCTTTGTTTTGTTCGGTTGAGATTTATAGTCGCGGTGCGAGGCGCCGCAGACGTAGGCACACTTACGGAAAACAAACGAATCAAACTAAACCGAAGCTAAGCTACTGAACAGCAGGGTTACCGTACACTTACCTACGACCGTAACATTCCACAATATAAAATGGGGGGGGGGGTGCATATAAAACTTATCTGAAAGCGGTCTATGTCTAACGGTAGTACTAATCTCGTACTCCTCTCTGCACCCCGAGCTGACCGCGCTGACGGATCGTTACTACGTACACTTGTCCGACTGCGACGGGGCTACGCAAAGCTGCCGCTGTCTCAAACATATCTTATTGGATTTATTTATTTATTTATTTATTTATTTATTTATGTACACACAGAAAACAAGACACAGTACAGAGTAATAGGAAAATTATGTACAAAGGCACTGCTTATTTCTTTGAGAAATCTCTTCCAGCAGACCTGCGAGAGGATAATGAGAATAATAATAAAAAGTGATAAGTGTGTGTAGAACACATAACTAAAATAACAAATACAACATGAGANTCAGAACTGTGGAAGAGCTACTATTCACACTGACAAAACTATCAGATGAAGAGGTACACGAAAAGAAACTATCATTGAGATCAAGTAAATCATCAGTTTCATACATTGATATGTTAATAGATTTCAGACGTGCACAATTAAGACGTGTATGTGTATATGCAGAAGAACCAAAGTGGAACTTAAATAAAAAAATAAAAAATAAAACCAAATTAATCAATTACCCAGTGGATTACCTTACCAACTCGCTGGTTTAGTGACAGAGATTGAACAGAGAAAAATTAAAGACAACTTCAATTATATGCTTGCTAGACACAAAAGTAATGTTATTTATTACTACATTATTTCTCGAGAACATTTGTAATTCAATAAACAATCACTTAATATTATTCAGAGGTCTTTATGACTTGCAGAGTGATACAAACATATTGAACATACCCTTTCTCAGTAACCGCTGCTTAGAAAACTAATATCATCCTCATAGTTAAAAAGTAAAAAATAGATCTTAAAATATTGTTTTAGTTGTGCGAGAGTGGTGCAGAGTGCTGCGGTCCTCAGAGGGCGTCTCTAATACCTAATATATATAATATATTTTAGTGTCGGAGTGTGGGCTACGCCCGCAACATTTAACTTACAATTCATATAGTAGTTACTGTCGACAGCTCCATCGCAGTATTCAGTTCGCCGATGTCAGGGGAGGGGGCTCGCCACGCTCCCATTTACAGATATGCCAATAACTCATTGAATATTCATGTATCGGGGATCACTCCTGAATAATGTCGCATTTCTGTCGGACTCTCTTGGAATTAAAGGTCCCTTGTCATAGAGAATGTCCGGAAATCGTTCAAGGTAACCTTAAAAGCCAATATGAGAAATATTTGGGCCTGCTTAGTATGCTTACCTAAGTAAAGTATGCTTACCTTTACTTAGGTAAGCATACATAAGTCGTGTAAGTACCCTGAATCCGAGGAGGTGCTTTATGTGGGTGCTGTTTTTGTGAAAGGATCCCCTATTTTACAAAACACTTTCAGGTCCACCTCCGTATAAGAAATCTTGGAAAGCAGACTCCCGCTGTACGCGGATGTGCGAATTACACGTAATGACACCCTCCCACAGTACGCGGCGGCGATATGATCAATGACTGCTAGGAAACGACATATCTATTTATATCTGTTAGTGCAGTATCCTAGAAAGAAATATTTTAAAAGAAAACATTTTAATTATCCCTGTCATGACGCACTTTCCTCAACGCACATTTGGGAATGGATTGGAATAGTGCAGTTAGGTTCCTTATTTATTGCACTGTTTGTTGGTTTTATTTATTTTTGTCCCGTGCAGCGTGCGTGGTGCCGCGACAGGTGCACGCCGCAAGAACTCGAGCTAATAACGTCAGAATGCTTTACAGGAAGGAAGCTATATTGAAATCAGTCCTTCATAAGTTATAAAAGATGTCAGTCAGTCAGGCGGCGCGGTCCAGTGCCCCGGCAAGCGGACGCGCCTCCGACACGCGCTTGGTTCTAATTGAGACACGCATACACTCACACTCTCATATAGGTACTCATAAAGGTCTTGCCTTATAAAATGACAGTTGATTTTGTGTTAAACGTTAAATGTTAAGACAATGATTACGAGTATATTATTAGCGACCTGCGCCCGCGGGATCACTCTACAACTTACAACTTGCCCCCGAGACTGACTCGTATGTAGACGTTAACTTGTTGGGTGTAGAGTAGGGCCGGGCGCCGCGCCGGTGCAGGTGGCTAGCTGAACCTACCGATTCAGCTACTGCACAAGTGATCGTAAACTAAATTGATACGAAGCGAACAAAGTTTATGAGTTCTATGAACAAACACACAAACAACATCCGCCGGTGACGTGTCAAGGGTAGCTGTAAATTATACATGTTTACAGACGAGATCCGTACAGGAGATGCCGCGCCCGCTCGCTCGCTGCACGTCAGCAGACAAATCACAAATATTGCACTAACTNCAGCTACTGCACAAGTGATCGTAAACTAAATTGATACGAAGCGAACAAAGTTTATGAGTTCTATGAACAAACACACAAACAACATCCGCCGGTGACGTGTCAAGGGTAGCTGTAAATTATACATGTTTACAGACGAGATCCGTACAGGAGATGCCGCGCCCGCTCGCTCGCTGCACGTCAGCAGACAAATCACAAATATTGCACTAACTCTAATATTAAAACCACCCAATAACAATCATGCCTACTGCAAGATTCAATAAGTCCTGTTGTATGGCGCTCTGTCGGGCGGGCGCATTCAAACTCAAAAAGTAAATCTGATGAGCAACAGAGGTGCGTGAGTGTGAGTGTGTGTGTTGTGTGTTCCACTAACGACTAACAGCAGGTGGTTGGTGCAGGAACTTGTCGTCGAACCGGCTGGAGCTGGTGTCCGCGGGCTCGCTGTCGGGCGCGGCGCTGGCGCGGCTGTGGCTGGACCGCTGCTCGCTGCGCCGCCTCCCCGCGCACGCGCTGCGGGACCTGCGCCGTCTGCACTACCTGTACGTACCCCCCTCCTCGCCTCCTCGCCTCCTCCGCACCTCCTCGCGCATCACACTCTGCTTGCACTACTACGCTTTTCAAAGTAATCAAATGTAGATAACATTCACTTAATTAGTGTATTACACGACAATGTGAGAATGTCCTGCAGCCAAGCTCAAGGGCCGCGGTAGTGTCGATCGAGTCGCGGGGCGCGCTTAGTATCGTCATATTTTCGATTTGACTTCTGAACAATTTTACCGGAATTGTTAGTTAGCTCTGCAGTAAAAATAACTCGCGGTAAATAACATTAAATATTTTCTACGAATACGGACAATTATCCCCCCGACCTTGACATTTACTCTGTTCCTACCCCGAGCAGTGAAACAACAAAATAAATGGAGCTATTTTTCACAAAATTCGCCTTCGCGAAATGTTCACGTACAAAAATGTAATTTATTCTGCGCTTAAGTGAATAAGTTAGTTGGGTGTCGGCGCCGTCCTCTCGTTCCCCGAGTCGCGTGGCGGCGGCGGCGGAGGGCCCACGACCGCCTCTCCGCGCACCTTCTCGAGTTGGATCGTGCCACTCGCTGAACGTGTGACAAACGAACGTCCGCCAAGAAACAAGCAGCATGCTCCGTAGCGTATAAACCGCACTAGTTCTAGGCCACTAGACACCGCTCATCTTTATGTATAATGTACCGCGTCGACCGCTCGTACCTGCTCCTCGCTGGCACGCTTCCAAGCGCGCTGTGTACTACACGCCATGTACTCGCACACTCCGCGCTGGGTCCCTGCTGCACCGCGCGGCGCCGGCGCTGGGGCGTGCCCGCGTGCCGCACATATGCACTACGGAATAACATCTCATCACTGATATAGTTCGGTGCCGTTACCGGATGTCACGAATGACTCCCGCGGTGCGGTCAAGGAATAACATCGTGTAACAAAAATCCCAGAAAAATTATAATTTGCGTACTTATTGGTGGTAAGACATCCTACCACCAATGAAACTATTATTAGCTATTAGTAGTGTCAGCTATTAGAACTGATTCAGTAATGATTATTTACAAAAAATACATTTTTTATGAAGTAATACGTGGCGCGTGCCTGACCGCCCCGCTGCGCCCCAGGGCCGCTGCCGGGAAGAGGTCTGCTGAAGGGTAACCGTCTACGTTTACCAGCAGGCTGGACGTCCGTGCCCCAGTCTAGTAGCCTGTGTGGCTCTGATGTGCTTTAAGCGCGGCGACATTCACATTATGATGTCCACGGACTCCGGTGACCGCTTTGCACCTGGTGACTCGTCAGCTCGTGTACGTAAAACAGTTATCACAAGTGTGCACAAACACTTTATTGATTTGACAATGTCAAATGTTATCGGTACACAAAATGTTGACCAACACGGAAGTACACGAAATAACAAGTAGTCTCGGGCAGTCGATAAACAGATAACACAACGAGGAGCCGCGGGAGGAGGCGGGCCCGCACTCCGCGCCTCCGGACACGGAAGCACGCTCCAAGGCCTCAAGTCATTAATTAATTCCTCGTTGGAAGTAATCGCGCCGATAACTTGATGTTACGGAGCATTTGTACACACGACATTACACTTCACTCACTACGACACCACGCGTTAGGTACGTTCGATAACACGCTCGTGCCTTGTGAATGTATCTCCACTGATGATCCAAGACGGTAATGGATAACAATCAATTTATAATAATAATGTGTAATCGTAAATGTAATCCGGTGATGCACACTGCCTAGTGCCGTATTAAAGCAAGCAAACAAACTAAAGGTCGGCTCTGATCACTGATAGTTTGGATTTAATACAGGATATTCGTGACCCAACTATATACTCTTTTGGGGGTGAAAACTCTTACAGAGCAATAAAAACGGCAGAGTACATCTGTCCAAGAAACAGTGAAGAGTAAAGGCAAAGAGCCTTGCAGACGCCGAGAGGCGGGGCACAGTCCGCTGTACAGTCCGGTGCACAGTCCGGTGCAGCTCTTCACTTGCCCCACGGGACAGTCTCCGAGCGGGGGCACACGATACAACCGCGTCCCCGACTCTGTCTCTGCGCTCGGCCTCTTCGATCGGTCGGAAACCAAATGACAAAACATTATTAACTTTATAGAATTCGTGTCGTCGTGGCCTAAAGGATAAGACGTCCGGTGCATTCGTGTTGAGCGATGCACCGGTGTTCGAATCCCGCAGGCGGGTACCAATTTTTCTAATGAAATACGTACTCAACAATTGTTCACGATTGACTTCCACGGTGAAGGAATAACATCGTGTGATAAAAACCAAACCCGCAATAATATAATTTGCGTAATTACTGGTGGTAGGACTTCTTGTGAGTTCGTGCGGGTAGGTACCACCGCCTTACCTATTTCTGCCGCGAAGCAGTAATGTGTTTCGGTCTGAAGGGTAGGGCAGCCGTTGTAACTATACTGAGATCTTAGAACTTATATCTCAAGGTGGGTGGCGCATTTAAGTTGTAGATGTCTATGGGCTCGAGTAACCACTTAGCACCAGGGGGGCTGTGAGCTCGTCCACACATCTAAGCAATAAAAAAAAAACCATTTTCAATAAATATACTGCAAACATATTCCTGCGATTGTATAGGTTCAGGTCAGAATTCACCATGTTGACACATTATAGTTAGACCGGCTCGTTTGAGTAAATACCTATAGTATTGTTGTAACGTTGCTACATACAGGTAGGTACATACAGTAGTTCGACAACGAACCGACATAAAACAAAAACTTAAACTAATTTGTTTCAATGTTTAATCGTTTAATTTTTAAAGGTTCTTTTTATAGCACCGACTTTATTCAATATCTGTCCCGTAGTTTTGCCTTTGCGTGATGCCGCGGTATACTCGCTCCGTAGCTAGATAGTTCCGAGCATTCTTTTAAATATCTAGCTACTTTGAAACTATTAATAGTCTAGTCAACAAGTTCAAAAACGTGAAAAATAAAGATAAAGGTCCTAAAAATATGAGCGATGGCTCATTCGATTCGGAATCACCTCTAGAAAAATGTTTTTGAAGGATTTTGGTGCAGGTTAAAAATTGCAATTGTTATTAACAAAATAAGATGGAAAAAAAAATGATATTTCGTTTTTTGTTAATAACTTGAAAAATATTAACATTTAAGCAATTTTGAAAAAAGCTCGTTAAAGAGGAGGAAATTTCCAATAAAAAAGTCCTAACTCCCTCTCTATCTCCATTATTTATAATTTTAATTAGACGTTGAAAATAGGGCTCCGCGCGGCTGTTACAGCATGCGCGCGCCGCCGCTAAAGAGAGTTCAGCAATAAAAATAATTTCTTTATAACATAAAATGTGATTTTTTTTCCATCTTATTTTGTTAATAACAATTGCAATTTTTAACCTGCACCAAAATCCTTCAAAAACATTTTTCTAGAGGTGATTCCGAATCGAATGAGCCATCGCTCATATTTTTAGGACCTTTATCTCTATTTTTCACGTTTTTGAACTTGTTGACTAGACTATAATACCAACTGTCACACCTCTTAAAATACAGAGATCGCAAAATATGCTCCAAATAAGCAGTAAAGTTCATTATAAGCTGTTTGTAGAGTAACAAAGCTCCTGCCGCGTGACGCCGACGTCATACGATCTGAATGTAATTACTGAATATACTGCAATCGAAGTCCGAAGGACGCGCCCCTCCGCCCCCGCCCCGCCCCGCCCCGCCGCTCCTATCTGCCCCAGGGCTGTTCCGGCCACGACACTGAACATGTTTGTTGTGAACACTGTGAGCTCACTAGACAATAGGCCCATTGCTGTGTTGTGAGTAACGCTTACAATCGCTAATCCCGATGTTTGTGCACGTCCTCGATGCCGCGCCGCTCTACACCCAACACTCGACAGTCATAGTACCCGGCTCACTGACATGTCTATATAAGTGTGTAGTTCACTCATCTAAACTGTTCTTCTAGTAATAATAAGTAGAGGACCCAATTTTACCGACGACGTGAGAGTGCCGCCGCCGACTAGTTACAAACTGAAACAAGAGCGTGCGGGTCGCGGCCCGCTCCTCAACACACAGGAAGTTTCCAAACAAAATTTCTGACGGCATCCGATCTTCAACCCGACCGGAACCTGGCCGCCTCCACTGGACGCGGCCCCGGCTCGACGTAGCTATTAACGTATTATCCATACAGCTATGAACTTCAATGGGATTAATCATACACTTTAATGACAACAAGAGAAATACGAAAATACTCTTCTATATCGTTCCCTCACTGCTGAGGGCCGTGACCACATGTGATGTTCCTCCACTGTGTTCGATCATGGGTAGCATGGACCGCATGTTACAGACTACCACAAAGCGCTTCCTTAACCAGATCTAACATCTGGCTGGTGTTCTGCCCACGGCGCGCTTGCTCTCTATGCGACCCGATATTAAGAGCTTCTCTAATTCACGTCTGGGATACCGCATGATTGATTCCGATGAAACTCTTAACACGTTCCCGGCNGATGTTCCTCCACTGTGTTCGATCATGGGTAGCATGGACCGCATGTTACAGACTACCACAAAGCGCTTCCTTAACCAGATCTAACATCTGGCTGGTGTTCTGCCCACGGCGCGCTTGCTCTCTATGCGACCCGATATTAAGAGCTTCTCTAATTCACGTCTGGGATACCGCATGATTGATTCCGATGAAACTCTTAACACGTTCCCGGCAGATGGCAGAGAGTCTGTGTCGGATGTTTATATCCCTAGGTAGGTATTACACTTGTGTATTCGTTACAATAAAACTAAAACAATAGGTCTTAGACATTCCTGAAATATTTAATCACAGCTGTAAGTGATATCGAAGCTTTCTTATCAACTAAGGGAATGCTGGAAGGGTAGTTCGCATTAAACTATCTGCTGTATGTCGATCCTGTGTCGTCACGCTGCTCCGGGCGTCAAAACTAAATACCTTCAAACTTGTTGGTAAACAATCGGAGCGTCTACGGAGCGGTACAATAAATATTTCGATTAAATAAACACAAATAAATTACATTTCTCGAATTATTTAACACAAAAATAACAAATTGATTGCGTGTAATCCGACCTTCCTATTAGGAAAATTTAATTTGATCTACGGCTCCGAAATAAATACGAGAATAAAGCCGCTGAAGAAATTCATTATTTATCCGCCAGGAAGTTGCCCACACTTTGGAAATGTAGAATTCTGTCAGCGAAACTTCAACCTTAGCTCTTGTAGCTTATAGACCGTCTGTTGAGTCGCATGAGGTCGAGCGCTGTCGTGTAGGAGCAGCGGGGACGGGCGATTAAGCAAGGCCGGCCGGAGATTCGCGCCTCCATCTTCTCCGTCATTGTGTCCACTTCCTAACCGTACATATCCGCAATAATGCTGGTGTCATTTGCTAAGAAGCTTTGATGAATTCTACCGGCTCTAGACCACCAAAGAGCGATTACAACATTTTTAAGGGAGCATTATGTTTGAGGCGTTGCCTGGGTGCTGAACTAGGGTGTCAGCAACATGATGACGGCTCACGAGTATATCAAGAAGAATCAATTTTTCATCGCAAGTGACGACAATGCGGTTCAAAGTCCCTTCGTTTCTGTGTCTGCAGTCAATTACGTTTCAAATTGATAGTATTATAAAACGGCAACTTCATAGATAAATAAGACATATTCCAATGCTTTACTAGTATTGGTGTCCTGCAAGCAGGCCTGTTCGAGCCTGAACAAATGTAAGCTGACGGAAAACTCGTACTCGTGAAACTGTACTCGGATATTACTGCAGAATGTATGAATACCGTGATGCCGCGGCTCCTTCGCACGGAGAGGCGGAGTTGTTGGAACATTCGCGTCTGTATGTATGTGCGCCGAACATTATTTACGAGTATCGTTATATTACATTCGAGCGCACAGACAGCACATTACAATATGGCCTATCTATTGAGATATGAAAACATTTCGCAATCACTCCTAATAATAAACGCGGAAAGTGGGTTAGTCAATAATCTACACAGGAATAATCGTATTGTAACAATGTACTACAGCAGTAACGTATCCTATAATATTAGCTTCTGTAAACAACTTAATGTCGGCTTGCGTTTTTTTTTTCTTTTTTTTTCTTCCTAAGCCTGAGAAAGAGCGTAACGTTAAGTAGGTGAGCTCACGGGGCTCAGACCTGATGACGTTGCTAACACTAACCTTAGCAAGAGCAGTGTTTCGCAGTATCTACCATCGGATCGGCGACGCGGCCCTCTGAGAAGATCCGGCGAGAAACTCAGTGGGCTGAGACTGTTAATTTACTCGTCGAGCCCTTCATCGCAAGCGACGGGTTCGACGAGATCGATGACTGGTGCTTGAGGTACATAAAAGCACCTTTAGTGGATCGGGAGGTCCGAAATGATGTTTTTGGGCGACATTTACCATTCGGTCGGTCCGTAGGGTCGGGAATGTAGTTACCAGCGGCCACGATGAGAGAGAGGGCTCTCGTGTCGTGCCGCTTTCTTGAAATGGCGCACTGCCGACTGTAGATACTTACTGATGGACTTATCGTGGAGGTCCACATCTCCGCAGGATGGGTCCAAGCTGAACAGTAGTGTCTCCGCGCGGACTTGTAATCCGCCCACGACCGGTAACACATTGAACTGATGAAGTCAATTTAATCGATGATTTACTATTTTATAATATTGCGATATTGCACACAAATATGCATGTGCCGACCTCGCACGCATTACACGTAATACAGTGACGCGCGTGTGTGGAGGCTGTGCACCCACACACACGCACACAGCGGTGCAACACGACTATTAGTGTGTACTAGATGTGTACTAGATGTGCGCGTGAAGTCAGTGGACGGTCCTCCGCTCCGGCGCGGCGGCGAGGTGCGTTCACACTGGACGACACGACGCACTACTGCCGGTCGGCTTGCGGCACGCGCCGTGCCTGGGCAGTGGGTAGCTCGTTTACAGCACTCCGTAATCAAGTATATTAGTCCAACAATAATTTTAAGTTTTCTTGGAACAATAACAAAACTTCAATGAAATCGCTACTTTTTATGATCATTTTATGGAAAAGCTTCCAACATATTAAAATCGTGTCTGACGATGTGAGTCCTCAGAGCGGCCTCGGGACACCGCCGACCTCTCCGCTACATCACGCTCAAGGCGACTCGAACATCGGGCGGGTGCTGCACGTTGTCGTTGCCACACTGCTGGAGACATTGACAAATGATCAGTTAGTTAAGGATACCTTCCCCGCCCCCTCCTCCCCTCGGAGGGGCGCGGCGTGGCGGCGGTAGGACCGTGTGAACTCTCCCCGCGGCGCTCTCACACGAGACTCGCCAATATTTTCGCAAGTGTGTACATCACTTCATCACTCCCGCCGCGTACTCGTTATACAGCACTTACTTTCGCAAACGTGACCTTCTCGCATAGAATTTAAATCAACTTTTCTAGTAATTGCTTTTATTGCTATTGCCAATACGATCTACATTAGACATTCTCTAATATTATTGTTGGCACTTGAAACTTATATTTTGTAAAAGAAACTACGCAATGCAAACACACATACTCTACAGAACACACCGACCCCGCGTGTGTCGTGAGACGGTGCGACACAGAGCGCTACATGCAACATTTGCATCGAAATTATTTTATCAGAGAGATGATTGTGCAGTTTGTTTATACCGACTTTCTTTTTTTACCTTTAACTAAAGTATTGGACGTGCTAAAGTGTTTCCGTTCAAATATTTGAAAGATACATGTATCGCCCATAATGTGGACTGCACATTGAGTAGCGGGCGCGACGTCGTGCCCGGGGCAGCATGAGTGGTAGTCTACGTTCTCTCTCAGGGTGCAAACTGATTCCATTCTTGCTACATTAGAATGGTCTCTTACACTTGTACAAGCGAGCGACACCCTTTGTGCGTATCTAGACGAGTATTTGCCTCGGATAGTGTGAGTGGGAGAGAGCTGGGCGAGTACTCGGCTACAACACGCAGCAGGACACAAGACTGTCGACGTTGTGTTTCACCCGCTTGTTTAGTGGAGTGCTCGTCGGGGAAGACGACTGACATTTTAGCGTACCTGTGATGGTTCAGGTCGGCGGAGGACAACTTGATCTCTGAGCTGGAGGGCGGCGCGGTGGGGGCGCGCGGGCTGCGCACGCTGCGGCTGTCGCGCAACCTGCTCCGCGCCGTGCCCACGCACGCGCTGGCGCCGCTGCACCACCTGCAGACGCTGTGAGTACACGCCATCCTCACCCGACTGAACACTGTGCAACACTCCCTGAACATTCACAAAGCTGTATAGATTAGAAAGTTCATCGCATAGGTATTGTAATGGATACACAGAACGCGCTCATGCTGCGTGCGCCGCAGGGCAGGGCGAGCCCGCGTGCTTCACCCCGCGACGGAACAGACCCTCGCACTCATTACACAATTGTTTTGAATGTTTAAGTGTTAATGTCAGCCTTGAACCACGAGACTACGTAAGTTGTTTTGAAGATAAGTTGAAAAAACAATGTTTCCGTTGTATTGTTATTGTTCAGTTAGTGATCAGATAATTTGTAATGACCCCTCCCCCTCTCCCCCGCTGATAAGTGACAGCACAACGTGAATTTACACCCAAAAAGAGAGGGCTGACAACCGCTAACTAGTATATTATAGTAAAATAGTAGTAGTAGTAATATATTTATCTAGGGCAAACTTTCGCGACATTACCGGTTTGCGAAACAAATAAGGAAAACGATAATGTGTCCTCGTGGCTGCCTCCCCTCCCCCTCCCCCCGCGGTGCCCGAGCCTGCTCGTAATGTCTGTTACTGCCGGTAGAACTGCTCGTTACTCCCAGACCCAGTAAAATAAAACTATCCGGTAAATGACGTTAAACAACACGACTTTCTTATACGACTCGATGAATCGTTGTTATTGCCGTTGTTATTGCCACGCGAGTAGGTACGTACTGCGAGTACGGGTCGGAAGCACAGTGTGGCCGTGCCTGCTTCAGAGCAAGGAAGTGGCAAACAAACGATCCAACATATTTTTTTGTGTCCTGATCAACGGCTCTGACGTACCTAAATATATTATGATGATACTAATAGTGTTGTTCACGCCTCACATATAGTTCTATTTTGTAAACAAAGATGTTCGGATAACACAATTGATATATTTAGTAACACAACGCCTCCGTAAGCGCGGCTCAACGCTCAGCAACACTATTACGATGTTCCTCGCAGAAATCCAGGAAATTCGATCGATCTCGAAACGCGGAACATAAATCTTCCTCTTCAAGGTCCTTTTTGAAGGAAAATCCCCAAATCTCAGCGAGTCCTGCGTACTTTTTAATTGTTTGAGTGTCCTTCTCGCTGCCCGGGCCGAGCGACCCCCACCAGTGGGCTGTCACACCAACCCACTTACTTAATCCATACCGACAAACATTACAATCGCTTTATTATACAGCTGAGACTTGCTACTACAGTAACCACATATCACAAGGTGGATCGTCAGCTCGTTAACCCGTCTATGCAATAAACAAAAACCAAAACCACAAGCTGCAATGCAATGCAAGCTGTGATGTTTCTTAATTAATTAATAATGTATGTAATATGTATGTTATGGTGATCAGGGTCGGTCTCTCGCTGACAGTAGACTGTAGTAGAGCTGTACCCGGCCCGACGCAACTCCCTTGCTATTTGAACCGGATGCACAGAGGAAGCATTAATATCTGTATTGACAACGTCGCGATCGCCGCCTTACAGACAGCCGACACTTCCGCCGCCGCGCCAGCCCGAACGTTATTATTCAGAACTTGTATATAAGAGTTCTCTTGAAAATATCATTAGCGCGTTTCAGGTTTTTGTTGAATTGTATCTAGTCTACTACAATGCCGAAGGACCCGGCGCAGAATCGCGAAAGGCAAACTGTGTTGTTCAGCTTCACAATCTTCACCTGGGAAGGCGCATCGCGTCGCGAACACATGTAATCAATGTTGTCTTGAGTCGCGTCTCGATCGACTCACACAAGTGATTACGTGTTGAATGTATCTATGCAGCTGGGTCGGTACCGGGTAGATCCGGCGACCACCGGCGTGTGCCGTGTACCTACATCTCGTGCAAGGTCACGCGCCCTTGTGTACGAAGCTTTTTCTATCTTTTTTCCTCCCTATTCTCTGGTAGCTTTAGGAGCTGTTTCCGCCCGGCCGAGTAGGTGAGCTCACGGGCTCAACCTGAGAGAATTTACTAACACCAGCCCTAGCAAGAGCAGTGCTTCGCTTATATTAACACCGGATCGGAATCGTGATCCGGCGAGCAACTCAGTGGACTGTTATTTTCATACACGGGCGCAGACGGGCAGACCATTACAGCCCAAAGCAGCGATCGTCACATATGAGTTCCGGTCTGAAGGGTGGGATATCCATTACACGGTACAATTGCGAGTTAGAAGACCTCATATCTCAAGGTGCGTGGCGATGCACTCCGCGTGTGGTCGCGTCGAGAGCAGGACCCGGCTGCGCCCTCATTGCGCTATCAGAGCAAATCCGTTTCGTATCCGTTCCGATGATAATATTGTAACCTTCTACTTGTAAAATCCTTCCTTCCATAGATAAGTGATAATGAATTGTAATGTTTTGTTTGCGTCGCTTTAAAACCATATTACTCTGAACAACAATTCTGCTTCCAGCTTGCTTTAATTATGTGTGGGGTTGCAGGGTCTATTCGTTCCGTGTAGGTACACATGCGTGTTCAGACACGGCCTGAATATACGTTCATATTTACTTGTACGGCTTTGAACCTGGGACCTTGTAGCCGTCAGAGCGCCTCCTTTGTTCAGAGATAAATAAACTAAATGTACAATGTAGGTACATAATATATTTGCAACGTTAAATGAACGCAAATAGAAGCCGCCAAGTGATTGTAACAAGCCGTTACATTAATTTCTTAAATGCTGATAATTTCAACAGATGTGTGTGTGTGTGTGTGTGTGTGTGTACTCACGTACTTGAGTTATAATCGAAGCGCCAGCCACCTCGACCACCTCGTCACACACATCACAGTCACACGCGTCACGCTCGTCACACACATCACACGCGTCACACGCGTCACGCTCGCCTCTGTCGTTTAAATGCTCCACATCGTTTATTCGAAACTCTCTTATTGTATTTTGTGTAAAATAAACAAGTCCACGGCTCATTCATAATTCTTACGAGCTCGTGTTTATAATAACGTTGCGCGAGATGAACGAGGTCGTTACACTCTCCGCCGATATGGGTTTATCTTTAGAAGATCATTCGGACCACGTGCGAGGACTATACAGACGCTACATCGAGCGACGAGTGACGTGCGACACATTGAACAGCCTGTGGGGGGCTTTGTAAAGCGATCGAACCTATTGAAGGTACGATCTAATGGCGGCCCCGCTACGTTCTCGTTCTGATAATACGAGGTCATGGTACATGGTACATATCTACTCAGTAACAAGGACCGGCCGAGCCGATGCAGCCCCGCAGAGTTCACATCATGACTTGTCTTGTTAAGATCGTGGTCGTCTCTTGAAACAAAAATGTCACAAATTATATAAATGGTATTTGTTATTTTGTCGATGAAGATATCGGCTCGCACGCGGCGCACGTCCTCGCTCTCAGAGGAAGCCACGTTTACCACACATACTCATACTTTATTCATTTATTTACTTTTAAACCCGCTAGTAGTCTTCTGAATTATTATTATGATTTAATTACATTAATTACAAATAGACAATAATTTCTGAACCGTGTTCTGGAGCGAGAGCTCAGACGCGTCACGGACAACAGCTCGTCCGTTGATTGTATGTATGTAGAGCACGCTGAGCACGTGAGGTTCAATGTGGAGTGTGTTGTGTATGCAGACGGGTGAGACGTGATGTCGCGTGCCGGTACAAGGCTGGGCCGTCTCCTTGTTGTTTATTTACATTACACAGTTGGGTCACCGCTTGGCTGTGTGTCGGGCATTGCCATTGCATTGACGACTCACCGCGATGCCCGTCTTCCTGCGAAGCAAAGGATCAGGAGGAACACAATCATTATGCAACAGAAGATTCAGCTCGGATCAACTAGACAGTCCTAACGAAACAGAAGCGAAGGCTCAGATCCTTACTGGAACTTACTGTAGGCCATACTGTAAGCACTCACGAGTTGGTTCCACGATCCTGCCTCTTTCCTCTGGGAAGGCTTGTGGGTCGATTTGAAGAGTGGGAAGGGCGTCATATTTTTTTTTTTATTGCCNTCATTATGCAACAGAAGATTCAGCTCGGATCAACTAGACAGTCCTAACGAAACAGAAGCGAAGGCTCAGATCCTTACTGGAACTTACTGTAGGCCATACTGTAAGCACTCACGAGTTGGTTCCACGATCCTGCCTCTTTCCTCTGGGAAGGCTTGTGGGTCGATTTGAAGAGTGGGAAGGGCGTCATATTTTTTTTTTTTTATTGCCCTTGTAGGCAGACGAACATACGGCCCACCTATTAATGAGTGGTACCGTCGTCCATGGACGTCTGCAATGCAGAGGGCAGAGCCAATCCGCTGCCTACCGTTAAATACTCTGCATAAACCTCGTTTGAAGAAGGACGTATCATAGCGCTCGGGAAACACAGTGAAGGGGAGCTCATTCCAATGGATGGTACGTGGCAAAAAATATCTCTGAAAGCGCACTGTGGATGAACGCAGTGGCTCCAGGTAGTATGGATGAACTCTACTCCGGTTGCGGGCGGTGCGATGGTAAAAACGTCATATAATCCAATTGAAACTTTGAGCTCGTGTTTCAAGATCAGTGGGGGTACCTATTAATCATTTGATGTGTATTCCAATAACTCCTATACTTAGTCTGGCCATAAATACTGTTACAATTAAAAATAAACATATAAAATATTACATTTGAATTTGGAATCTGTCATTTTTAGATGATTGCTCATTGAGTTTTCTCATTTTGGCGCCAATACATTGTACAATATATTGCGATATTAAAATGGAGTGGGGTGATAAAGAGAACCGAATCGCTGTGATTGTATTACACAAAGTAGGTATGGAGCCAAATGCAATTTTTAAAACTTTCCATACGCTTGGTATTAGTAAAATGTTTGTGTACCGGGCTATTAATAGGTGCAATGAAACCTCCTCTGTTTGTGATAGAAAAAGATCTGGCCGTCTACGTAGTGTTCGTATGAAAAAAGTGGTCAAAGCAGTAAGGGAAAGAATTCGAAGAAATCCTGTCCGAAAGCAAAAGATTTTATCTCGGGATATGAAGGTAGCACCTAGAACCATGTCGCGTATTTTAAAAGATGACTTAGGACTTGCAGCCTATAAGACACGTACTGGTTATTTCTTAACTGATAATTTAAAAGAGAATAGGGTGGTAAAATCGAAACAACTACTGAAGCGGTACGCAAAGGGGGGTCGTAGAAAAATTTTGTTTACGGATGAGAATTTTTTTACAATTGAGCAACATTTTAACAAACAAAATGACTGTATTTATGCTCAAAGCTCTAAGGAAGCTTCCCAATTAGTTGGCAGAGTGCAAAGTGGGCACTATCCGACTTCAGTGATGTTTTGGTGAGGTATTAGCTATGAAGGAGTGACTGCGCCATACTTTTGTGAAAAAGGTATCAAAACATCGGCACAAGTGTATCAAGATACCAATCTTGAGAAGGTAGTGAAGCCCCTTAACAACATCATGTTCAATAATCAAGAATGGTCCTTCCAGCAAGACTCGGCGTCAGGTCATAAAGCTCGGTCTACGCAGTCTTGGTTGGAAACGAACGTTTCGGACTTCATCAGAACTGAAGACTGGCCATCGTCTAGTCCCGATCTTAATCCGTTGGATTATGATTTATGGTCAGTTTTAGAGAATACGCCTTGCTCTAAACGCCATGATAATTTGGAGTCCCTAAAACAATCCGTACGATTGGCAGTGAAAAATTTTCCCATGGAAAGAGTGCGTGCTTCTATTGATAACTTAAAAGTCGTCGTGGCCTAAAAGATAAAACGTTTTTTTTTATGATTGAATGATTACTGGTGGCCCGGAGGCCTTTTCAGTTTCACAGGCGAGCAAAGGCTCAGCCAGGAGGGATGGGATTTGCTAACAGCTACCCGAGCGCCTCCGAAGGAGACCTAACAGCTCAAGAGCAGCTGCTTCGCGAATGAATCTACTACCGGATCGGAATCGCGACCCGCTGAGAAGATCCGGCGAGAAACTCAGCGAGCTGATTCATGGGTTAAGTTGCACGGCGAACTCTTTGTCGAGTTCGACGAGTACGGTTACCGGGGTCCCTAAGCCTGCTCCTAGTGTTAGAGCTGAAGGCGTCTAATGCAAGGGTTATTGGATCTGATGGATCCGTAAGGACGTGTCTAGGGCGTCGACGGTGACTGGCTCCTACATGATCAGGATTCGGGGAGTAGTTAGCGGCGGCAACGATAAGGCGATTATCATGACGCATAGCTTTATCGAAGTACCGTTCCGACGCTGACTTCATGTATTTCTGGATAGATTCGAGGCCCAAGTCGTCGTGTGGGTCAACGTTCCTCACGAACCACGGAGGTCCGACGGCTAACCTGCAAAAGCGGGATTGTAGAGATTGGAGGGTGTCTATATGTGTGCGGGCCGCGTGAGCGAACACCACACTCGCGTAAGTCATGACGGGCCTTATGCAAGTTTTGTAAAGTGTCACCTTGTTCCGAAGGGACATTTTACTCCGCTTACAGATCATGGGATAGAGTCTGCCGAGAATAAATGTGCACGGTCGCGAACTGTTTATATGCGGGCGGAATGTTATGGATGCATCCAGGGTGACTGCCAGGTACTTGACCTTCCTGGCCCAGGGTATGGGTTGTCTAAAGAGAGTAATCGGGGGTGTGGGATAAAACGTCCGGTGCATTCGTATGTAGCGATGCACCGGTGTTCGAATCCCGCAGACGGGTACCAATTTCTTCTAATGAAATACGTACTCAACAAATGTTCACGATTGACTTCCACGGTGAAGGAATAACATCGTGTAATAAAAATCAAACCCGCAAAATTATTATTTGCGTAATCACTGGTGGTAGGACCTCTTGGGAGTCCGCACGGGTAGGTACCACCACTCCGCCTATTTCCGCCGTGAAGCAGTAATGCGTTTCGGTTCGAAGGGTTAGCCGTTGTAACTATACTGAGACCTCAGAACTTATATCTCCAGGTGGGTGGCGCGTTTACGTTGTAGATGTCTATGCGCTCCAGTAACCACTTAACGCCAGGTGGGCTGTGAGCTCGTCCATCCATCTAAGCAATAAAAAATAAAAAATAAAACTGGCCTCAACGTTTAAAGGACTGTATTGCAACCAATAGACACCACTTCGAATAAGCTTTTTATGCTTTAAATTGTTTTATATTTATGTATTAAATTAAACTAACACATTGTAAAAGTAATAAATGTTATTCGCAATAGAATTTTTTTTATTTTTAATTGTAACAATATTTATGGCCAGACTAAGTACTTTCCAATAATTATGGATTCCAATAACTTGAACATAAGAATTAAAAATATACCATAGATAACACAAAAAAAATTAAGCTAAGAATTCGAATACGCTGAGTCTCGCCTTAACTTTAAAAATCAATAGTTAACGAGGTGAATGTCCTCTGTACTTGTGTTACTTTAGTAAAAAAAAAACCAAGTGATAGTATCAGTATAGGAGCCCCCCCTCCACCCGCCGCCCCCCGCGCCTTATCTCGGTCCTGGAGCCTGTCACTATACGTTATTCTTTATCTCGTGAAGTGTGCGCTGACCGCTGCGTGACGACAAGACGTCGACCCGGTGTCCCAGCGCCGCGGCACCCTCGGAGCACCCTCGTGTTTTATTCCATTTGACTCCATGCAGATGAGGGTCGTACGAGTTGTCGATAATCCCGTTATCACGGATCGTATGGAACTTCTGGGTCTGCTCTTCTCTTTGTGTGTTTTGTACCGTTCCATGGGAACTGTTTTGAGGCATTGAGATGATCCCTCCTTCTCCTTTTTCTCCGCAGCAGTCAGGGCTTGGCTGTATCTTCCTTGACATCAGCTGTGTTGGCATAACTGATGTCCATAAGCGATGGTGACTACTTACCATCAGGTGGACCGTATGGTCGTCTGGCAATAAAAGCCACCCCGTTTTCATACGGCAACGCATAGAGGCTGCTTGGCAGACACGAACTGGATTGTGGCATCTGAAAATTAAGTAATGTCACCTCAAGTCGAATAATTCGTATTCTTGAAGGGGCAGCTCCAAACTAATGTTTGTGAATGGTTTGTGATTTTCCAATTTTTCTTGCGTAAGAACATTATTAAAATTATAATAAACATTGTTCAATACTGCCTACGACTTAATCACGGCTTATTATTTTCTCTCTTATTGGTAGGCAGCGGCTTGGCTCTGCCCCTGGAATTGCTGAACTCCATGGGCGACGGTAACCACTCACCATCAGGTGGGCCGTATGCCCGTCTGCGTACAAAGGCAATAAAAAAAAAATCATTTTATACCTTTCTGCTACGTTAGAGTTTTTGTAAAAGTCGCGTTGATTTTTGTTTGGCTCTACGACGACCGAAGGAAGCATTGTACAAAATAGAAATAATAGAATAGTTTAAGACTCTGTCAAGAAGGTTCCGGGAAAAGATCAATAATACACCAAATGTGATTTATTCATCCAAATTTGTTTTATCAGTTTCATAGTATTATTTTACCCCAACGAATAATCCAATCAACAAAACCTTTTTTAAACGCTTTAGATGGACTCTGGCGTGGTATTTTCGGTATTCGGTATCAGTTCAGTCGGGAGGCGCCACGTTGAAGCTGGTTGGTGTTTGTATGTTGATCTCGTAACTCGTAACCGCGTCTCGTCCGTCAACAGGAACATTGCGTTACGTGAATGTTGCGTCGAAATTGACTCGCGTACGTCTTCCGCGACTTATGCTATTGGGTCTAATTGGACGAGGAGAGCGGAAATATGTTTCAAACCCATCGACTCATTAGATACAGAAAGTTTGACGGCTCTCTATCGCAAAATTGAATGAAGATTTTCGGACACTATTTCCTTCACTTTTGCATGTGAACTTCATTTACAGGCGAGGCAAATCTTCCATCACATCTCGACCACTTTTGAACGCTTTGTACCACTCATACGTGTACAACGTGCTGTGCATACACTCGATTCACCTCAAGTCTTGTGTAACATTTTCGCTGACTCCGAACACAAAATTTCATTGACGATGCAAAATTTAACAAACTCTTTGTTCGATGTCGTTTTACGAAATTCTTATTACACATTAGCGTAATAACTAAAAACATCACAGCAAATCTAATTAAAAGCTGTAATTAAACTCCGCGCCAAAATGGAAAACAGTTGCTGTAATTTAACAACAACAAAAAAAAAACAATTGAGCTAAGAACCACAAACAAATCAGCCGTTCCCGGTCCTTCTTCGACTGAACGTATCAACATGACACTAGTGAAACCGCTCGAGTGTTTCTCAACTAATCGTCTCAGGACACACAGAATATCTTATATGTATGTATGTATATGTACTTCAAGTAACGAAGCTGATTGTGTTAACGGTAATGTATTTGTCGACAGGAGTCTCTCCGGGAACCTGATCACCGAGCTGTCAGACTCCTCGCTGCCTCCGCTGCCCGCGCTGCACACGCTGTATGTATTCACGCTACTGCTCACAATCATACGGACGCTCCAGCACACCGACACCCCCGTCGCTAGCAGCAGCCGGTCCAGGAGCTAGTCAACGCGTACCTCACGTTACGTAGGCTCAGCGACACTCAGCTCGCAGCTCCACGAGCGGACTACTCGTATCGTTTACTATTGCACGTTGTGTTCCTACAAAGTCCCGTAGTTCCTACTGAGATACAGCTATGAAGCTACGCTAGTAGGTACGACTCTATTATATTCAGAGCGCGTGTCGTTGGATCCACCAATTTTCACATGGATGAGACAATCAGCGCGAGCGCCCTCCCACTCGCTCGCTCGGTCACTCACGTCACGTCACGACACGACACGACACGACATGACACGGCAGATTATTGTACTGCGTAAAGTAACGCTTTGAAACCTTCTAATGTCCTCATCACTCACGACCGCCTTGTTATTAAAGTTTAAAAAACGTGGTACTTTGCGAATAACAAGAATCACCTCATACACATAGTATTATTCTGCCTAAATTATTAATACATTGTCACTCACAGATTTTTGTTTAGAGCTACTTACAGCTAATTATTTTATCGCAGATCATATTAAATATAAAGGAAGGTCTATGTAGGGTGCTCATTAGTAGGTACACAGCCCGGAGGCCGCGGCGGCGTCGTGTGTGGTCTCCGGCCCTGCTCTAGTTATCGCAATCCAATAAATGTAGTATGTACCTATACGGAAGCACCCGCGCGGGAGGAAACTCTTCAAATCAAAAACTTCCAATACGTGCTCGGAAAGTTCTTGAAACCTCTGTAGATGAGGCTCGCACTCGCTTGTGATAATACATATAAAGTAACATTATTCTCATTCTGACAATTTGGACATCGAACTTCGAGAGAGTCGGCCATGACAGGCCTCAGCAGCGGTGAGCCCGGGGCCTCGCGTGCCCATCACTTAACAGAGACATATCGATAAGAGCGTTCTACTAATTGAACAATAATTTAATATTATATCCATAACGCTTGCTCGGCTCGGAGGCGGACTAGGTACCTATTGGTTCGTGTGCGCCGGTAATGGCTCCACATCCATTAGCAGTGCCTATAAATCCGACCGAGGTAGCTCCCCGGGGACGTTGACCCCGCACCGCAGCTCAGCGCCTCTCCGCGTTTACATACCTACAATAATCGATCATGTAGTCACTTTTCAAGATTAAAAGGAGTTTCCAATACGGTTTTACGTTCCACCAGTGCATTGGAACAATACGTTTGAATAGTGAATAGCATTTTTAAATTCTTGACTCTACTGAACTTTATCCTGTAAGTACAAGCTACAAACAACCGACAGTCTAGTCTACTTCATGCCAGTGTCAGTGCCAGGAGACAGACCGGGCTCTGCGACACGGGAGACTACGCGAGGGTGTCTACCGTCGTCCGGGCTGTTCCTGCTGTGTGCTGCGATAGCAGTTTCACTGTATCCCGGTTTGAAGGACGGGGAAATAAACTAAACATTTTTCCTACCCTTCCCCTCCCGAGGGTGGTGTGACGGAGTACGGAACATTTGTAGCGAATGCTACGGGAAGCACATTGGGTGTGATTGATCGGTGCGTGGTAGGCGGTAAAACCCAATGAAAAGGTGTTCATTGCTCTACCCTCGGCATTTCTGATGTTCATGAGTGACGGTCAACACCCACCATCAGATGGGCTGTATGTTAGTTCGTCTCGTAAGAACAAAATAACAATTTTAGCTACCGTGAACAAGCAAATGCACTCACTTTAATTGAAGTACTTTGTATTTCTTTTGGTACGTAGGTACCTGCTGGTGAACATCTGTGATATATGCACATAATAATATGTGGTTTTGTAGTGTGCGTGCGTGTGTGCGCGTGTGTGACGCACTGCGCTCGTCGAAGCTCGACAGCCATCGTGCGGTCGACGATTTGTCATCGATAACTTGAAAGTTGCTTGTCACTTAAAGTTCACGACAAAACATATAGAAAAATATAAGATTAGGGCCTATAGTATTATGTACTGCTCCATAATTTGTTTGCCGCATCTTTCTGATTGATCAATAAAGACTAATCGACACCTTCGTTGATTGGAAGGCCGACCCGAGACAGCCGGCATTAGTACAAACGTCACCCTGGGTTCGGTGACCGGCGCCCGAGAGCGCGGCGTCAGCGGCATGTGACGTCACGCGTCACGCGTCACCTCCGATCCGCCCCTTGCTCAATAAACGACCATCACCGCACTTACCACATTAAATCATCAATGTATCAAAACAAATAATAAACAAATAATAATTAAACCATGAAATGAAAAAACAACGAAACTAACAACCTGCAAACATTTTACCAATGCCACATCCATGCGAACTAGCTCCTTGTGGCGTCAATATCTACCCGCCACCGAGCGGCCGGCGGCTGGTCGAGGCGATCGTTGTACTTACCTTGCTTCTGTGGTAATCTACCCTCTTTATACATTTTAAGAAAATAATAATCTTTATAGTTTTTGTTAAATATATTGTCATAGCACCGCATGTTGTTACCATAAATTATTGTCATGTACTGCACGATCTAAATTAATTATAACTATTTTATTGTTCTCATTTAAGTGAATTTATGTAATTCTTTTGAGAATAAAAAATATCTTTAACCCGAAATCTATTACCTATTCTAGTAGAGCAATCACAGTCCTTCCATATGATGCTTGTGTGTGTGACAGACATAAAATTAAGTGTTTTTCTGTTGCACGACTGTGACGGCTCGCACCCCGCACCCCGCACCCCGCGCGTGCTGCTTCTCCCGAATCTCACAAATGTAAATAAATTTTTAAACACGTCAGTAACGGTAACAGTCGCAGTAACACTCAGAGAGCAGTCGCCCGGCTGGATCTCAACAACAATTGGAACAATAGATGAGGTGGTTAGGTGCGGGAGTGAGGGCGCTCCGCCCGGGCCGCCTCCGCAGAGTGCGCCATTCATTACCCGACAAGCTCGACAAATAGTTGCCGCTTAACTACTGGACATTTAACGGGACCCTCCACTGTCGGCCCGAGACAACAACTTAATTATAACCACTTAATTATATGTACTATAGAAAATTTAATTCGCCTTTAGATGGAATATAAGTATTTAGTGTAGTAATTATTTATATATTATTATTAGTAAGTAATTATTTATCATGTTTTCACATGAAATATTACGAGTTTGAAAACGATAGTTCAGTGGATGTATAAAAGTTACCTGAAATTCAGTCGTGCAGTATTAGAATATTTTGTATTGAGGTAGTGGGAAATTATTTTCCTTCGGGAAAACTCGGATCTTTATCGGAATACGATGACACCCGAACTGTCAATGAATGTTCGTATTAAATGAGTGACATTTTCGTATCCATTAATGTCATCATTAATCTTATTAATGTGGAACCACCACAGGAGCGTGAAACCTATAGTAGGTCTATGTGTGGAACTCATAGACCTTTAAAGTACTTCAATGGTGGAACTTTATTGTTTAATGTCAAATGTCAAAATGAATAATGTCATTGTATTGAAGCTATTTGAGAGAGCAAGATAAATACGAACTTTTCCGAAAAATTACGAAAGAAAATCTTTTCTCACTATATCTATACACCGTATGACTGTACCGTCGTCCGGTCGACCGAAACATCATGAAATGTATTAGATGCTTGAAACAACTGAATTGTAAACAACGCAGAGTCATCTCAACAACAAGGGCAATAAACGTAAACATCGCGGTAAACGCACGGAGCAGCTTAAAGCAAAAAAAAAGAAGGTTAAAACTGAACGCGTCTGTTCGAACGTGTACACTCGCACACCAAAACAATATCTAAGGCAGTAAGCCGTTCTGTGGTTTATGTCGCGCCCCCGAGATCTCGGCACGTCCTGAACTAGAAATATGAAGCCTCCAAACGAATGTCGAATGGATCACTGGAGTTTATAGTCGTCGTCGGATGAAGTGGCCGTGAATATAAACGATCGAACGTAAAACGGACACAAATGGACGAGAAAATTGTACTCACTCAAAGAAATGAAGAGTTCTCGCAATAATACAGACACGAGGTACTAGGGAGGGGGCGCCTCGGACTCTATACGAATGTTCTAGACTCTGTTCGTCTCTAACACCTGTCTCACTGTGGCGCTCATACATTTTATATATTTACTGGCTTTTGCCTGCGACTTCGTTTGCGTGGAATTATTACTTTGGTATAACGCTAAATTTCATCCGCGTCTTCATTTACGTAGAAAGTGAAAATATTTTTGAATAATAAAATGTTAGGGAGCTATTTAAGATACCAAAATTACGCTTTTTAACAGACTTCAAAAGAGGAGGCTATCGATTCGATCACCATTTTGTATCTATATTTGTTTTTTTTTTTATTGCTCTTGTAGGCAGACGAGCATACGGCCCACCTAATGGTGAGTGGTTACCGTCGCCCATGGACTTCAGCAATGCCAGGGGCAGAGCCAAGCCGCTGCCTACCGTTAAATACTATGCATAAACCTCGTTTGAAGAAGAACGTATCATAGCACTCGGGAAACACAGTGAAGGGGAGCTCATTCCAATGGATGGTACGTGGCTAAAAAGATCTCTGGAAACGCACTGTGGATGACCGCAGTGGCTCCAGGTAGTATGGATGAACTCTACTCCGGTGGCGGGCGGTGCGATGGTAAAAACGAGATGCTGGTATCATCTCGAACAATTCCTCAGAGCACTCCGATGTTCACCGATTTCTCGAGATTGCTTGAACCAATTCTAATAATTCTCATTTCTGTTTTTTGTTCGAAAGGGTAGACTTCCCGAAATGTCCTGAAATCATCAAGACCTGATGATGGGATCCTGGAGAAATTCACAAAAATGTATAATTTTCAAAGCCTATCTTGAAGTGATTTGGGTGTTTCTTGTTATTGTTCTTATTCGGTGCCAGCGCACCGCCCGCGCGCCCGGCCGGCCGGCGCCTTGTACATCAATATTAACCATTGATCACGCGCTTGATCATTATTTTAAAACTGCGATACCTTCTCATACTCACTAAAATACTCATAGCAAGATACTCATTAAAATAAAGTGTGGATAAATTTCTTTTAAAATCAAACACTTGTAACGAATAACGTATTTATTTGGATAGGGATTAATATCATCTTCATAAAAACACCTTCACAAATAATGCTTTATTTTAAAACAAATTTGATTAGCATAAAAACGTTATAGTGAGCCAACCTTTTTTTTTAGATATTTAGTCGCCGACTTTTTTTTAGATATTTTAAAGGGGAACAATTCTGTCATACATTAATTTAGGAATCTTTAACCGTTTCCGCAGCACACGCAGCGGAAGCTCTCAAAAGCGAAAAAAACCCCGACTTTGAAACATTATTGGTGCTCCGCTTGTATTGGTCTTAGCGTGATGTTCTATAGCCTATAGCCTTCCTCAATAAATGAGCTATCTAATACTGAGAAAATCAGAGACAAATCGGACCAGTAGTTTCTGAGATTAGCGCGTTCAAACAAACAAACAAACTCTTCAGCTTTATAATATTAGTATAGATTAGGTGTTCGCAACTGAGAGTTCACTAATGCTAACTAAATACAACGAAGTCGTCCCGGGCTAAACCTTACGACGCCGCGACGGACCGTCAACTCGTTTGTGTGACCTCAAAATATAAAAAATACTATTCCTGAAAATAATTTCCGGTTTTCACAGCGTTCCACAAAACTATATCCGTCCTAACTGTGACCGCCACGTGCTACTGTGCACTGTGTACATACATATGGTCCACTCCGCACTCCGCGCTGATCTCACTATTACAGTCGCTCGTCAAAACGAAGTGTCGGATGCGAACACTCGTACAGATCAGTTTTATAGAACATTATAATGTAAACATAAGTAAGGCAGCTCGCGGCAGCAGTGATCGGCATCGGCAGTTAACAGTCGCGGGACGCGGTGTGCGAGTATTCTCGTTTATTTATGACTTGTTTGCTTTATATTGCGCGTGATGTGCAATAAAGCTGTTGTCACTTGTAATAAAGTGGTCGGCGGAGAGCGTTCAATGCAGAATGTCATCAATTAAACCGAGACAGTTCAAGCTCGTTCGATTTATGTCCTAAGTAATAAAGAACTGGCACTGGGCGCTCGAACCTCCTCTACATGTAACCGGCGCGGCGGCTTGTCGCTTGAGTTCACGTTGCGTTCCCGAGACACGGCGAGACCGCACGCACGGCCGCGCCGACTGTTGCGGTACTTGCGTCTTTCTGGTGCCCTAATCCTATAACTATCAACACCGTGATGTTAAATTTACCCAATTAGGAATTTACCATTTTAACCTATTTATAATTCTTAGCGTGTAAATGAAATTTTGGAATCATTTTAATGATATGCACATTTCTTCCAATAAATCTGAAAGTCCTCTTGCTATTCGCACGTAGAACCTCTGAATGTAACATTAAAGTATAACAACAAAGCAAGCTTCGCAAAGCTGAGAGATTTCTTTGAGCTCGGTGACGAAACAAAGTGATAATTGTCGACCTCGGGACCGGCTCGTAGGGCTCAGAGGGCTTCCACTAATCCCGTTGTGAGTACTAGTCGTTGTAGCCCCGGGGCATCAAGGGTTCTTCCTCCACCCATCAAGCCTTTCGTTTCCGTTTATTTAAAGTCAAACGTACTTCCGGGATTGTCGGGGCCAGGACCGTCATTTATCAAAAGGACGCCTTTTGTATTTTATTTGTTGAAGAAACTTATGTTTGATGCATATTCGGTTAGGCTAATGTATGTTCGGTAAGCTCTCACATATTTTACATGAACTGAAAATAAAATTCATTTGATTTTAAAATTCATTGCCAAGTAATTTTTTTGTAAAGATCCAATATTTTTCCTTAATTACCATAAATTAGTGCACTCTCATGTAGATGCCAACACGTGATGCGAATGAACATGAGTAAATCTCGGATAGTCTGAGTTGCGGACCGCAACGTGTGCTCCCGGTACAAGCGGACAGGGTGACGCGAAGGTAACGAAGGTCCCGGGGGAAAAGTCCCCTTATGATGTTTATTGGACATTGTGAAGGGTACGGCAGCCGCTGTACTACGAGTATACTCAATTTTAAAGTACAACGACTTAGAACTCATGTCCAAGGCAGGCGGCCACAATTACGTTGTTGATGGCCATGGGCGCCGGTAATCACTTAACATCCGGTGAGCCGAGAGCTCATTCTCCCATCTAAGCAATAAAAGGGTACCAATTTTTCTAATGGAATATGTAATTAACACATGTTCACGAATTATTTCCGCGATGAAGGAATAGCTTCGTGTAATAAAAATCAAACCGCCGAAATTATAATTCGCGTAGTTACAGGGGGTACGGCTTCTTGTGAGCTCGCACCACCCTGTGTTTTTTTTTTTTATTGCTTAGATGGGTGGACGAGCTCACAGCCCACCTGGTGTTAAGTGGTAACTGGAGCCCATAGACATCTACAACGTAAATGCGCCACCCACCTTGAGATATAAGTTCTAAGGTCTCAAGTATAGTTACAACGTGCGCCACCCACCTTGAGATATAAGTTCTAAGGTCTCAAGTATAGTTACAACGGCTGCCCTACCCTTCAAACCGAAAAGCATTACTGCTTCACGGCAGAAATAGGCAGGGTGGTGGTACCTACCCGCACGGACTCACAAGAGGCCCTACCACCAGTTATTTCTGCCGTGCAGCAGTAATGCGTTTCGTTTTTAAGGGTGGGCAGCCGTTGTACTGTAAAACTGAGACTTAGAACTCATGTCTCAAGGTGTCTGGCGACAATGGCGTTGTTGATGTCAATGGACTCCAGTAACCACTTAACATCAGACGGAATGTGAGCTTGTCAACCCATTTAAGCAAAAAATAGTAATAGAGTATGTACATGACTAAAACGTGTTTGTTCTGGTCATACAGAGTTCTGAAGAGGAACCGCATCACCCACATAGAGCCTCGCGCCTTCGCTAACACTCCCGCCCTGCACGTGCTGTGAGTACCGCCCCGCTATGTACGTCAACTGACCTACACGTGCTGTGAGTACCGCCCCGCTATGTACGTCAACTGACCTGCACGTGCTGTGAGTACCGCCGCGCTATGTACGTCAACTGACCTGCACGTGCTGTGAGTACCGCCCCGCTATGTACGTCAACTGACCTACACGTGCTGTGAGTACCGCCCCGCTATGTACGTCAACTGACCTGCACGTGCTGTGAGTACCGCCCCGCTATGTACGTCAACTGACCTGCACGTGCTGTGAGTACCGCCCCGCTATGTACGTCAACTGACCTGCACGTGCTGTGAGTACCACCCCGCTATGTACGTCAACTGACCTTCACGTGCTGTGAGTACCGCTCCGCTATGTACATCAATTGATCTGCACGTGCAGTGAGTACCGCCCCGCTATGTACGTCAACTGACCTGCACGTGCTGTGAGTACCACCCCGCTATGTACGTCAACTGACCTGCACGTGCTGTGAGTACCGCTCGCTATGAATATCAACCATTCGATAATGACATTGTTATTATCAATGTAATTGAATACAGAAAAACTATCAATTTAATATATATTGTAGAGGTTAACAAAACATGTGTTGGTAGACTGTGTCCCTAGCATTGCATGAAAGAAATATAACAAAACTGCATAGTGTACATCATAGTACATATACGGCTACTTACATATGTACATTAGAAATCCACAATTGCGTTGCTGAGCTGTTCGCACTTACATATTAACATAATCCTCAATCGCAGAGAAAGATATTGGTCCCGAAATTTCGCTGTATATCAAATTTTTTTCACTTTGTCGTAACACAAAGCTAATACGCAGTCCTTGAACTTGAGATGTCGGTCGCAGGGGAGCTTCGACCGGTGCAGGGCTGTCAACCTCTAGTATCTCTTAGTACCTATAGTACGTCTTAACTTGACTTATTAACTACTTATTAAGTTGGAACTAACTAGGAGATGGGTGTGCCATTAAGAAGCCCTGTTTTTGTCCGTCTTGCCCCAAAGCACCCAAATCGAACCTCTGCCTCGAACCGTTTCTGCGCTGCTGGCCCAGACACCAAAGGCTCCGACGGCAAATCCAATTGCGTCATTAAACGTCTATCAGCCCAGTTCATCGTGATGTTGGTTTATATTTTCAATGACGCTATGACGAACTGCATCTTTCCCGCAGTGTGAAAGAAGCAGCCGTCTACTATCGCCCGATGAGCCTCCTAGGGGTTCTTTGTAAACTGTACCAGGCGTCTGCTTTACAAAGGCCTTAGAGACTTTGTCTCTTCCAAGGGAATTCTTATAAATGAGCAGTTTGGATTCCGCTCGTGCGTACAACAAATGCACCGCCTCACGGACAACATTTCCGTAAGGCTTAACCGATCCAAATCGCTTTACACAGGAGCCCTCTTTTTCGACATAGCAAAGACGTTCGACAAATTACCAAACAGTCTGGTGCTCATCCTATTAGACTTCTTGCCGAATCGTTCGTTTCGATATCGAATTGACGGAACTCGTTCCATCCGTTCTCCTTCGTGTTGTTCGCTCACGGTGGTGTCCGTTCACGCGACCTGTACCCACATAGACAACATTCAGTCCTTAAAATACCATTATCAGGATAGCTGTTGGCGCACAGTAGTTCACGAGGAACGTCGACCTTCACCACGATTTGGATACCGAATCCAACCGAAAATACCTGAAGCCAGCGTCGGAACGGTACTTCGATAAGGTGATGCGACAAGAAAATTGCCTCATCAGGGCTGTCGCTGACTACGTCTTGACTCTCGTTTACGCAGGAGCCAGTCAACATCGACGCCCTAGACACGATCCATCCGATCCACTAACATTGTTATTAGACGCCTAGAGCTCTAGCATTAAGAGTAGATGAGAATTAGGAGAGGTAGAAGATGCATTCGCAAAGCAGCTGTTGCCAAATCCCACACCTTCTGGCTGAGCCAGTACTCGCCCACCTGTCACAGTGAAACTGGAAAGGTGACCAGTAATATCCTTCCGATAAAAATAAAACACAGGCCGAACGGGCAACGAGTTCTTTAATACTATTAATCGTACAAACGGATATATTACTGTACTTGAATTTATTTTTGTACAATCTTCGTTTCATCTGAAACCCCTGCGGTTATAATACATTACATGTATTCGACATAAATCTGAATATTCATCGTTTGTTTTCTTTGAAGTTCGTGCGTTACCCGCTCGCTCTTCGTTTGATTTATATCACTGTACAAGCTCCGGCTCTGGGTTTCGACAATCAGTATCCATATGTTACGTTTAACTTTGAACTAAAGGCGCCCGTTACCAAGACTGTTACAAACCATGGGATTCTTTGAAATAATTTTTTTCACTCCATAAATGTCGACTGTTGGAAATGGCGCTCAAGTGATCCACCAGAGAATAGGCGCAGCACTATCTGAGTATAGACACGCTGCACGCTGCGACCGACGACCAGCGTATAGTGGTGGTACTGGTGGACGTATCGAGAGCTCTCACGGGTTGGTGCCTCCAACTTGCCCGTACGGCGCGAAGGCCCGTGAGTTGAGGATCTGTTGCTCGCGGACACTGGACCCAGGTAGTCTCTGTCTGTATCCAGTTGGAACCGGTACCGGTGTGTATCTGTTATATGTACTCATCTATTTTTAATAAAAGAATACTGTTTTTATGATTGAAGGATGGGGTGAGAAAGATTAGTGGGATTAGCTAACAGCTGCTCGAGTGCCTCCGAAGGAGATCAAACAACTAGAGCAGCTGTTTCGCGAATGAACCTATTACCGGCTCGCAATCGCGACCCGCTGAGAAGATCTAACGAGACACTCAGCGGGCTGATGCATGGGTTGGATTACACGTCGAACTCTTTACCGAGTTTGACGAGTACGGTTACCGGGAAAATAATAGTCTTGATCATAAAGTTTAAGCATAAATTTTTTAATGTGAACTGAATGAACATCTGTCGCTAAGCAATGCATCAAGGACTTGACCCAATTCCTCGTTTAGTATAATCTGATTATGAATATTGATAGCGAACACACGCCCTTGTCCCCCCCCCCCACCCACGCTGTACGTCCGCGCGCCCCCGCCGGCTCGCAGCAGCCATCAAGCCGCTGTGACAGATCCACTTACACGAAACTCTTTGCTCTATCTATGTGATGTCGAAACGTTATTATACGTTGTCAGAGCGGTTGAATAATACTGAGCTATAATTCGTCATCCCCTAAAGAATAAGATGGTGCACTCGTATCGAGTGGCGAGACTGCGCCCGTGTTCGAATCCCGCAGACAGGCACCGAGCTATGTAATGGAATACGTACTTAAGAATTGTTCCCGAATGACTTCCACGCTGAAGGAGTCACGTCATGTAATAAACGTACAATGTGTATAATATGTAAATATACATGAGCAATTAACGGTGATGAGTTCAGCGGCAGATGTCAGCACTATTTCTGCCGCGATGCAGTTATGAAGTTGAGCGAAGTGATTCCCTGTAGCGACTGTGGCTGGCGGGCCGGCCAACGCCTCCACGCGTCTCGCGCAAACAAAAATAAGCTCTCGAAAGTTTCCAATAGTCCGTATCTAGGGAGAAAATTACCATTTTGTAAGCCTATTAGAGGCTAGACTGGGCTTCTGTGCGACATTTACATGTGAAAAAGGTTAAGTGTATTTCATATGAGAATAAGCCGAACAGTTTGTATACTTTTCGAATTATTTAAGAAGAGATCGCGGGTTCGCCAGTTCGAGATAACGTCTCGACTATTACCCATAAAAACGTGATTTGCATGCGCCAAGGAGGATTACTTTATGAAGGTCGTAAAGTGGCGCATAACTTTGTAATTGACTAGACATACTTAAAAGCTTAATAGGAAAAATCTTGAATTAGTAAATACCCAAATTGAAGTAGTCAGGTCCGCGGTTACGTAATATACGTCACACACAGAAAGAGATCATTTGCGCAATATCGTGAGAGTGTGAGCTCCCGGCGGGAAGTACATTCAGTACAACAGCTGCGTCACCGTTACAGGAATGCACTTCTCTGCACATTCGGTGACACAAGGCACATCGCCCGGCGGCGGCCGGCGCGCCCACGTCACTAGCACGCTCTCACAGACCGTCAAGTAGAGACACGCCGCACACTGTTACCGACGTGCTCGGGCAACACAACGTGCGAGCTGTGTCCCGACTTGACACATCCACGTCTTCATTATATTGAACAATTAACTGATGCTCGTTATCCTGCGAAACAATATGGTCTTTTTGCCACAAAACAAGTAGGGCGATGGTAAAAACTCCTGCAAGCTTGTAGCAAGCAGCCTCTTGCACTGGTACATAAAGAATATAGGAATTAGAGGGACTTACTTTATCTTGGAGGAAAACAACCTGAGCATCAATACCTACTTTTTCGTTGGTAATGATATGACTTTCAGGGAAGTCCGTCGCTTGTGACATATGGCAGACCAAACCGTGAGCTGCCAATGCCCTCAGGCTGCGTGATATATTTACGTTCCCATTCTGAAAGCGTCAACCTCATTATTGAGGCTGGCAGTCGCCGTACCGTGAGCGCGACGCAGACGAATTAGATCCGAGTCGGCCGGTTCATTTAAAGGCATAAAGAAAACTACAAATTATATTGTTATTTTATTCATAAACACTAATTGTTTGATTGGGCATATGACATCTGTGTTACCGTTACAATGGGAGCGTCGCTGGTAGATCCTCGCCTGGTACCGGATGCCGTCTGCGGGCTCCAGCTCCGACACCACTTCGAAGTCCAGTGCGGTGAGGTCGCGGGACTCGAGCCGCGTCACCTTGAGGATCTCGTGCACCGCCTACGGATTTACTATTGTACGGATATGTTACCGGTGTAGATAAAGGAACTAAGATAATCCGGCCATGGCATACTTCTTGTACATCGGATCATTGTAGCCGTTTGAAACTAAATCGATATTTATTTTTGCTTTAATCTCCAACTGGAATACAATTAATAATATGCTCTGACCAGAACAGAGCTAGTCACTCCATTGACGCTAGCCTCAGCCTCAACGATCAGTGCAAGAGTAACGTAGAGGCTCAGCGCAGACTGTCTTGATGCTCTAAGTGACAATCTGCACATCAATTATTATTATTTTCGAGCCGGGGGCCGAACCTCCTACTAGGTTCGCACGCCCCGCGGGGTATGTGGGACTTGACGATCTGCAGACCGCGGGCCCAAAGAATTTTAGGACCTTACCGCACTAAACGACTTCCCTGCACTCTTACACCCGACGTCCGATCTCCGTCCGGGGTCAGAACCCGGTCAGAGTAGGGGGGTTCCCGCGGTCAAAACTACAACCAGACACGCGGCGTCACCCCGAGGACGCCCGACCGACGGGTCGTCGAGGCGATAGTCGACGACCAACGACGTCGGTCTCCGCGGTACGGCGGCCCTACCAGGCCGCCCGGGCGATGCCGTTGGTGTTCCGGGATACCCCGCGGGGTGAAAACCAGCATGCCACGTTGGAACGCGATACACCGTCGACCGGGTGCACATTAATATATCTTAATATAGGTCCCAAGCCCGGATGAGAAAAGAAGAGGGTTCGCGTCGGTATGCTACCTACCCGACCGTAAAAATATAACGCCGAGCAACGGGCGGCAGTATCCCAGAGGAACTAAATCGCCTCTGAAATTCTGCTGTGGAAGGACGCGGGAACCCACCACTAGCAATTTTCCCAAGAAAACCTTTACGTTTGTGTTCCGTAAAGGTCACTATCCTCAGCACTGAGGAACACGACGCACGGAGGGGGAGGATATAGGCGAAGTTACTTGTACTGTAGTGTAGCAATAGTTTAAAAGTACTTTAGTCTATCTCATGATAGATCACTCGACTAGACTGAGTAGTACTGATATGCAGATTTGTATATGTACATAAAACAGGCAGAGTTCGACGGTCAATAAAGGTTGATTCCCCAATATCTACCTGGACGAGATCCGCAGCGGACAACATCAGTGCTAGTACTACCGTGCGACCGTGCGACCGTACCACCACTCCGACCGACTGTAAGCGCCATCGCTGTCACGATTGTAGGTTCTTATGTTTTCATGCGCCGTATCATTTGTTGTTTCTAAACGTGACTTGTTTCCATTTTCATTTGAGCAACAAAATAAATTAGGATAATAATAATAGATGGTACCGATGTTATGTTCTGTGTGAGGCGCCAACCCACGCCCGGAACTAGGTTTGCCCTGTTGTTTTTCTCGTATGAAACTATGAGTCCCATAAATTATGCAACACTTTTTATTTTACTTCTTTGCACAAGTGTAAAAAATGGTATGTAATGTTATTTTTTAGAAGCATTTAGCTTAAAGAGAAAACTTAAGTAAGAGCTTACGAAAAAATGTAATTAACAAACCAAACGAGAACATTTACTACAGTTGGTGATTCTGATCAAATTCCAACTAATGGGCGAACAGTATTTTTCATTAGCATGTATGCTGACGAGCACACCGTCCACCTGATAGTAGGTATTCACTGTTGCTCATAACAAACAGCAATACTAGAGGCACAGTTAAGCCGTCTCATACTACTGTTACGCGCTGGGGTTCGGGATAAATAAAAAAATCCACCAAAGTACAACTAAAAATTGTATTTAACACTTAGAACACTTAAAACATTCAACAAAAACTTTAAAACTCTCAATTCGCTTCTTCCGCTTCGCTTCAGGTGATCCGTTCGCTGTTTCGTTTCGAGTAGCTCCGACTACTGACTGACTGCGTGCCATCCCTGCAACGCTTTTATAGCTGATACCACATCCCTAGAATTATCGAGAATATTCCACACATCTCTAGTATTGTGTTTACGCTATCTGACAATAGATGGCGTTGTACTTCTCGAGCGTTCTAGGTGCTACTAGATCCTTCTATGTTCGATCAACTATTTGGCGATAGATGGCGTTACTCTTACCGGTGTAACACTATTGAAGATTCCTCAAACCTCGCTTGAACATGTCATAGCGCTCGGGAAACATCGTGAAGGGGAGGTCGTTCCAAAGCGGGGGTACGTCTCAGAAAATATGCCTGGTAAGCACAGAGGCTACAGGAAGTACGAAGAAATTTCAAATAAAACTTCTCAAGTACAACATTGGGACGGTTAGTCCACCGCAGAGAATCCAGCTCGGCGGACGATCTTCCGCTACGTATCCAGCCAATAATTACATGAATATATAAAGAGTCTCCTTGAGGTATCACCATTGTTTATAAAAGTTTGTTTGTTGCAGACGCCTGGAAGAAAACCTACTATCGGAACTTCCGCCAGCGATACAGCTACTGCCCGTGCTACAAGATCTGTGAGCTATTGAACACAACACTTGAACTAACTAAGAACTCTCGCAACAAGGGGCGGCCCTTCTGTCTTGTGAAACCAAAAGCCACTACATCTATACTAATATATAAATCTACAGTGGTTTTTACCGATGTTCTGTTATAACTACTGAACCATGCATCCGATTGACTTGAAACTTGGTATCCATGTAGAAAATACATGTACTTAATGGATAGGCTAATATTTATATGAGTGTTGGCTCCCTACACCAGTTGCGGGGGCGTTAATGATTTGAATCTTTGCGGGGTGAGAAATAATAATGTTAATTTTAAATGCCCAGCGAAGCGGACGGGTCAACTAGTTGATCATAAAAGTACATTCGTCCACTTATCAACAGATAGGTAAACACAACAACAACTGTGAAGTGTTTGGATGCCTAAAGCAGAATTGAAACAGCTAATTTTCTCTTTGAGAATATTTGACTTTCCAATAACTACTATTAAAAAAAACCATCAATAATTAAGTATATTATTCGTCAAAAAAGTATTGCGCGTCGTATAGATCGGTAGCTATACATTTGTCTGTATGTCACCAGGTTGTTGAGTGGGAACCGTATCGAGGTGGTGGAGGCCGGTATTCTCCAACAATGTCGTCTCTTGAAGCGGCTGGACCTCCGCGGCAACCCGCTCACTCGCCTCCACAGACATGCGCTGCAGCATCTGCCGCATCTCAGGACGCTGTGAGCACATTTCAACAACAATCTACTCATGCCTACTTTATATTATTTAAGAAATGTTTAATTCTGCATGTAACCAGACCGGTGNATCGAGGTGGTGGAGGCCGGTATTCTCCAACAATGTCGTCTCTTGAAGCGGCTGGACCTCCGCGGCAACCCGCTCACTCGCCTCCACAGACATGCGCTGCAGCATCTGCCGCATCTCAGGACGCTGTGAGCACATTTCAACAACAATCTACTCATGCCTACTTTATATTATTTAAGAAATGTTTAATTCTGCATGTAACCAGACCGGTGGTGAAATTATATGCAAGTGTATGCTAGGAAAGTGTCCGTAAAGGTCTATTTGAAATAAAATAAACGCATTGTAGTCAATAATTCCTCTAAGGCGGCTGTACACAGAACGTTAGACTAATGTGATCATTAACGTTATTACTGTTATTCCAAACCATTTCCAGTGAACTCAGGACGTCGCGTCCTTCCGCGTCGCTTTGTCTGTCGCTACTAATTATTTCCATTACATAAAGCTCATGAATCCTACACTATACCGCCCGTCTCAGGTCAATTGCTTCTCTTGCAATGATAGTGTTGTTCAAAATATTAGTTATCTAAATATTAGTTCGCCTTCTAAAAATTCTAGAATTCTATAGTGCATGACGTCCATTACTTTTGAAGTAGAAAAGTGGACATTTTACAGCTTACTTGTCTTACTGATAATAATGTATTAGTACCCAATCGGTTAAATGAAGTGAGAGTGGATGAGATGACACCCAGACTAGACCCAGAAAACCAGTTTCGAAGCCGCAGTCCCGGTAAGGAATAAGTGACGGACAAACTGAGCTGACACTGAGCAACTAGCACCGGTTCATGCACTTAGTTCCAGATGTTATTATTAACAGATCTTTGTATTGGATAAACAGTCGATTCAGATATAATTCAGAAATAGCAAACGGGAACCTATGTAATTTTATCTTTAAAAGCTTTCATTAAACATATGACAAGTCATAACGCAGTTAGCGCGGCGGGTTGAGTGCTGGCCGAGCGAGTATTGTCGCCCCTCGAGCACGACCCCTCCAAACACACAACACAACACGGGACGTGCTGAGTCGTGCTGGCGACAACACCCTCGCACGCACACCACTATCGCGGCCCGGACTATACCTAACAATATATTTGAAGTTGCAAGCTAACAGACTGTGATATTGTGGTGTGTCCGTAACGTTCGTCAATATAATTACAGCAGCAGTGGATGGCAACCTGATGACGTTGTTCTCTGACAGAGCAGCTTGACGTATTTTGGCCGTGATTGGGACCCAGAAACTATGAGTTATTTTTGCAACAAATCAAACCCGTTCCTATATTCATTCGGCTGACTTTCTTATCGAGAACAATTTACGCATTTATTGAGGTCATTACAGGGTTGATGAGTAGTAGAGCGGGCCCGTGCTTGTTTACGAGCAGAGTTCGTAGGTGTACTAACAGAGAGTCGGTCGGGTGCGCCTTGCGAGGTCGATTTAGTTGTTTTTGGTCGGTACCGGTTCGCAAAGGGCAGGTCGCGATGACGTCACGGCCTTCGCACGTACATTACCGCATTAGGTATAAGGACGACAACGCGGCAACGGTCGGAGCCGATCCCAATGTACTCTTATTGTTGAACACGTACGTACAAATAATCTCTCACAAATACATAAAGTAAATTCTTTTATTGTGAAATGTTTTACTCTCTTCTCGCTTTTGATGTTCGATAGTTTATCTTTAGTATTCGTAACAGCTTTAAATCACCAAGATGAAGTAATTTAAAAGCGGTATTACGACATTACATGCGATTAACTTGCAATTACCAGAGGGTTGAAATATATTTAAATCAATGGCAATTACTATCTCATTTTATTAACTTGAGCAAGGAGAATTGGAAAAGTATTTCTTAATTTAGGTATTTCAAATCAGTATCACATAAATGCTTAGTCAATAAATGATGTACTTAGCTTTAATTTCTTCAATAAATTTGTCGCAATATTATGATGAGGCACGCGAGCCTAACGATGATATAATATTACCGTAAACGGCAGTTTCGTAGGTGAAGTCCTAATACTCCTAATACATATTATTATAATGACAATATTAAACGCGAGATTAAGCCGTAATACTCGCAGCTGTAGGTACTACAAGTCGTTATGTTTACGACGCACGAAAACGGTACAAAATAATTAATCTCTCTTTACGATTTAAACTCGGGTTTATTGTTATTGAGGATGATTAGAATGCTTTACTGTGTGTGATGACAGCATTGCGAATGCAATAGGCCGATTGTTTCCCGTTAATAGGACATTCAACTTGCAGCATCCTGTCGGAGGCGCGCGGGCTCCGCGAGGTTCCGTCGCTGAATGGGTCGGCGCAGGTCCGCACCCTCCGCGTGGAGCGCGCCCGCCTCACGCGGCTCTCCACGGACCTCTGTCGACACGCGCCTCTGCTGCAGTCGCTGTGAGTACCAACTACCCTTCACGCGCCAACAATGGCACCACCGCATCTCTTCCCGTCGGTGCAAAATACAACTACGAGAGGTACCGAACAGTAAGCAGCAGCATTGTCGGAGTGTACACCAGCATACTGCGACTGCCAACCGACACTCGCTGGGGGTGGGGTGCGCTGTGAGCCCGCAAGGCTGGTCGCCACCGTCCGCCCAGTTTCTGTGATATTCCATCCACTAACTTAAAACTACCTGATACTAACATTTATGTACGTAAATACATTTATTTTCCCATACATATCCGTTAATGAAATTTGGAAAATAATTATATTCTTCGAATTACCATAAAGATAGTGTATTTGTGTGTGCAGCATAAAATAAACAGATAGGTGATACTATGGTGATACCCATGTACGCTCAGAATGCGCCAGGATATCAGTGAAAATACTAGAAACTCTTTAGAATTAAATAAAAAGTGAGCAATGAAGATTTCAATCGGCAGATACATACATCCGCCTACGCTGTCGTCTCTCGCTTGCACCGCGAGACACCCGAACTGTTTCATGAACCAATTAACGTTGTGTTTGAGTTCCTAATTGAGTACATTTTGCAGCGCTTCAATATATTTAACTAAATCGCTTCGAGACTGATATATATATATATTTTATTGCTTAGGTGGGTGGACGAGCTCACAGCCCACCTGGTGTTAAGTGGTTACTGGAGCCCATAGACATCTACAACGTAAATGCGCCACCCATCCTGAGATATAAGTTCTAAGGTCTCAAGTATAGTTACAACGGCTGCCCCACCCTTCAAACCGAAACGCATTACTGCTTTACGGCAGAAATAGGCAGGGTGGTGGTACCTACCCGCGCGGACTCACAAGAGGTCCTACCACCAGTAAAATGTCTACTACTTATTGCATAAACGATGTATGGGCTGATAGTCCACCTTACGTTTAGTGGTTACCGCAGCGTGAACGTCGCTGCCAAGGGGCCGCAATGCATTCCTGAGAATCACTGAAAAACAGTGCCGTACACTTACGTTCCTAATATTGATTTACAACATTCTGTCTACACAAATAGTTGACATGAAGTCGTCGTGGCCTAAAGGATAAGACATCCGGTGCATTCGTATGTAGCGATGCACCGGTGTTCGAATCCCGCAGGCGGATACCAATTTTTCGTTCACGATTGACTTCCACGGTGAAAAAATAACATTGTGTAATAAAAATCAAACTCGCAAAATTATAATTTTCGTAATTACTGTTGGTAGCAGGACGTCTTGTGAGTCCGCACGGGTAGGTACCACCACCTTGCTTATTACTGCCGTGAACCAGTAATGCGTTTCGGTTTGAAGGCCAGGGCAGCCGTTGTACTATTAAAAGTGAAACCTTACAACTCATGTCTCAAAGTGGGTGGCGGCATTTACGTTCTTGATGTCTATGGGCTCCGGTCATCACTTAACATCAGGTGGGCCGTGAGCTCGTCCACCCATCTAAGCTTTTTTTTTAAAGTTCAAAAATGTTTATCCAAATTCGGCGAGTGTCCCATGATTATGATGCAGTTTCTCATATTTGTCCCAGCTGAGCGTAATGTTAAGGACGACCAACGACAGCCTGCATTACGCGGCAGAGGAAGATGTCATTATATCTCTACTCGTCCGGCCCGTCCCGCCAACAGTATACTCGTAGACTCAAACATTAACATATTCTATCCAGCAGCGTTGTAGTTAGTAACGAAGTCTTTGTCTTTGTTGCAGCGAAATGAAGTCCAACTACATAGATCGCGTTCCAGACCTGCACGAATGCTCCGAACTTCATTTACTGTGAGTACTACACGAGACGCCTCGCCGTTTGTACAACAACAGTTTAGAAGACACGGAATTGAACCGAGTTTTTTACAATAACTGTTTGGCTTTTGAGACCGTCGGTGTGTCGGAGCGCAGTATCCTCTGTAGTCGGTATACAGAAGGCGGCCTGCCCACAGAGACCTGTCGTCTAACGAGATCAGCGCGGTGCAGGGCAGCTCGTTCCGCGGCCTGCACAAACTGCTGGACCTGCTCCTCGCGAGGAACCGGCTGCGGCACATCCCCTCCGACACCTTCATACACACACCGGAGCTACAGAGACTGTGAGCATTGCCTACCATCCTACACGACTTACCGGCCACACGCGAGCAAACCAGACCTGCGGATCTGATCTAAGACTCTAATAATGAAGGTTCTTTTAATATAATCACGAGGGCTCTTAAACTTACCTCGAAAACTTATCTTCATACTCACTGTGTATTTCAAATTTAAGGTTTACTCTTTGTATCTACTATACATGTACCTAGCTGATATTATTAGCGTTCCATAACTAGACCGGGTACTAAAGGTCATCACATAAGTTTACAATTACCAGTCACTAGATTCTTCAAGAATTAAGTGGTTTCATTTGACTAACGAGTTCAAATTGCGAGGAGCTGAGCCACGGCCCGCGCCGGCATCGGCTCGGCTAGTTAGTCTCCGCTGTGGACAATAATGAACAGATTTAACAAAGAAGTGACTGAACAACTGACAATAGCGCTGAAGTACTATAAAGATTGCAGCGTCAGAGCGTGGCGGGGTGAGGGCCGCTCTGGGAACAACAAACAAATAAGCAGTTCTCTTGCACGTTCAACAAACATTTAATTTATTGGCAAACTTACATCCACAATTACCAAATGTATTCCTTTCCGAGCGACTCTAGTGATCTCTTATTTCTTTGATATCCCGAATAAGGTACTAATTTAATTAATTGACTAGGGAACAAAAATCGTTCTTTTTCAAATTGAATATAAATAGGTCAACGAGCTCACGGCTCGTCTGGTATAAAGTCGTTTGATTGATTGACATGTAACAATACCCAATTTCCTATTGAAAAAACTAACCACTCGATCCAAATTCCATCTAATCCATCCTTCAAAATGAATGGGCTGCCGCCGAACCGAGTCATACATATCCGTCCAGACACACGGCTCTATGAATAAATCCTGCCTTCAATAACGTCACAAAAGGGGATTCAAATCTGCCAATAACGCCAAGACGTCCTCTGACGGCTACTCGATCGGTCACTACACACTGTTCAATGCTAAGACGAGCACTCGACGCTTGTTTTTCGATTTCTGAGGCCAATCCAATAGAGTAGTTATAGTTTTTATATTTTTTTGATTTGTATCACTATACTGAACATCCATATTTACAGTATTCTTAAATTACTAAATATCGCGGTCATTATAATAAGTAAATAGATATTTACTTGAAATAAAATCCGCTAATCATTTATCTGTTAATTCCTCTCTAAATGAATGCATGGCTGCTGTACCTTCGGCCCGCAGTGTTCAATCGCTTCCAGTCTGCTATATGGTTTATTAGGATTATAAATATAATTTTGAAAGGTGGCTTACCCACAGTGAGTAGTATATATAACAGCACAGTCGACGTGACGCGGCCTTCGCTCGTAAACTCTTAGACATTACCGTGCTGATGGCACGTCTCCGTGCAATATGATTTTACGACTGTTCCCAGACATTGATATGAAGTCTCCCTGAATACGAAGTGTCGGCGACCATTATAATGTCTAACTTCTAATAAATTTGCAAATTTAAAGTTACTACTTTGAAGTTACTTGAAATTATGATTCAAATTTTTGGCACAAGCTCACAGCGTATTGGTGTTAAGTGACAGCCATGGACACTATAACTTAAACACCGTCACCGTTTTTTTATAGCAGTAGTCCGACCCTCATACGAAGTGTTCGCGCCTAGGGGGCACGCAAGGTATATGGAATTTGGTAGTCTGCAGACGTTGGGTGCAGACCGCGGGCCCAAGGATATCTGTAAGGCCCTATCCATCAACCGACCGACTCTCCTTACACTCTCTCACCCGACGTCCGATCACCACCCGGGGTTAAAACCCGAGCAGAGTAGGAGGATTCCCGCGGTCAATACTGCAACCAGACTCGTGGCGCTACGCTGAGGACGCCTGACGGGTCGTCGAGGTGATCGTCGATGACAAACGACGCCGGTCTCCGCGGTGCCGCGGCCTGTCAAGCCGCCCGGGCGGTGCTGCTGGTGTACCAGGATATGGCACTGGGCCTCCCGGTCGGAACGTGGTGCACTTCCGACTGGGTTGCTCTTCCACAATGCGACCGCAGAAACTGACACGATCCTTCTGGTGCCAGCGCGCTAGTGTGATGGTAGCGTGTGATCGGAGGAGATAAAGGCTGCAGCCTTCGGTCATCTTGTGACCATCACCGATTCTGTGACCAGAGAGGAGACCTAACTGTGATCGCGCGCTGCGTACGTCCCAACGCCGCGACATTGTCGAGCGTTAGGGCATTGACGCTGATGTCGACCGCACCAACCCCGTGTAGAAGCGGCGCACCGCCTCGTCGGGCCCACTGACGTTCGGCAACAGCATACTCAGCGAGCCCACGGCCGCCATCAGTCGGGGACTCAACTTTTCAAAGTGAGCGCGGAAGCTCCAACGACCGTCTAGTACGAGACGGAGGTACCACAACCCAGTTGCCTTGATCGCGACGCGGATGCCTCTGATCACATAATGAGCTCTCCGTCGAGGTGGCACTCTCCGGGCCCCGCGAAACAACAGAGCCTGGGATTTATCGACTAAAAACCGTCATCTACAAACATTTACCGCTATTAACCACAAACAAAACACGTCGATGATTCGTAGTGACAATAGTCAAGGTGGTAGTACCCATCAACATTTCTCCAGTGGAGGGATGGGAAGCCATAAGATGATATAAAAGAGAAGACTGGACACGATATAAGACGCCGAAACGACAAAAGTATCTCCACAGACTAAGAGATTCCCCCTAAGTAAGAGTAAGGTACTAAGGCCTCCCGGCGAGGACGCACGCCGCTTCGAAGGAGACGGAGCCGTGCCCTCGGATCACCTTACAGCGTTCGTCATATTATTAATGTTCAATTTCCTTTGTTTTAATATTTTTTTTGAATGTCGATGAGATGTAGCTTTATTTGAAGAAGGATTCTTTCTTTAACTCTCATTTCGTTTTTAGGAATCTTGAAGAGAACCAGATAGAGCATATAGACATGGAGGCGTTCGTATCGATCTCTAAACTGGAAGATTTGTGAGTAATTGAAACTAAATTATGCATAGAAATTAGATATTACATATGTACACCAATTTTTGAAGTGAAAACTTCTTTAGAATCGTTGTGATTTCAAACCGGATGCAACGGAAAAAACGACAGGTAAGAGACACAAATACAAAAATGTGTAGGATGAAGCCAGCAAAGAATGAGACAGAAATATACATACTATTTAATAAAGCGCCATCTGTGAGATTTTTTAATACTAACGTGTGTATGAAAGCTCTTGTAGTGAATTTTAATTTAGGATTATACGTGAAATTAAAATATCAATTCACAGAGGGCGCTACCTTACAATTATTTACTAATGACAAAATTTTACATATACTTAAGACGTTTAGGATAATTGTATTTTAATTTTGGAAGGTTTCACTTCTACCACGTGTGAATTGCACACATTTTGTTTTTTTTTTTGGATTATTTAGTGTATAAGTGATTTAAATAATAGCTCTCATTGTAACACAAGTACCTGATGTGAACAACATGGCCCCAGGAACGTGGGGAACAACATATTCCCGTGGCTGCCCGCCAGCGGACTGCAGCGGCTCCTCCACCTCAAGGCGCACAACAACCCCAACCTGCGGCACTTCCATCCGCCGGACGTCTTCCCCAGGATACAGGTCCGACAGCCATAAGTATCTCTTCATATGAGTTGCATCTGTCGCTAAACTTATCATTTCATTTTCATTATATTCGGTAGAGGATTTTTAAGTTCAGAGAGATATGACTGTGCAAGATTTTTGTAAAAGTTCCTTATCGCGGCTTGCGGCCGGGGCTGACTGATGAAATCGCCGCGGAACGCGCTAAGCCCTAGCTCTTGACTTAACGATAAACAGATGTGACATAAACACTGCTGTGTAAATTCCAAGTCCATTACCTTAGTGGCACTTAAAACCGGTATTGTTAGTGCGTCACCAGTAATAATACATACTTGAGAAGCACCCAATACAACTTTTAAACAAACTTAAATTTGAATTTTATTAAAAAAAATGGATACAATTTTTGCTATTCATTCATGACCGTATTTCATTTTTTTATTGGCACTGTAGGCAGACGACCATACGGCCCACATGATGGTGAATGGTTACCGTCGCTCATGGACGTCTGTAATGCTAGGGACATAGCCAAGTCGCTATCTACAAAAATACTAAAATAAAATATGTCGTAATTAAGGGTGGGTATTTTGTACGAAAAATTTAATTGTGTACAAATTGTTTACCTTCTTCTTACCCTTATGTGGGGGGGAGCAGCGTCTTCACTCAGGCCTATCATGCGTCGTCTCTGCACTCACACTCTTCTCACGCATATCCTCTTTCACGCAGTGCATTCAAGTCTAAGGACACCCTCTCGGCACATTATTACCCAGGGCCTTTTCGGCTTCTTAACTAATCATTTCCTTTTCACTCTACAATTCTTTACCGATTTCTATAAACGATAAAAAGTATTGTTATGCTGCTAGACACTGGTACTGTCGTACGCGTACCACTGCTGCGAGTTCATGCCGCTGATGGAGGGCGGCACCGTCACGGAGGAGGAGACTTCGGAGGAAGACGCCTCCACCGACCTCGTCATCATCCCCTCACAGAGTATCGACGCCGAAGCCTGGCTTAACGCCACTGACGTGTGGTCGCAATGTGCGTAAATAACAACAAGCCAATTTACATAATCTCGCGAAGGGGTATGCCCCTTCACGTGAAGAAGAAGCCTTCTCGTGCCTAGAATTATGATTCTAAAATATTATTTTAATTTTACAGTGAACGTGTCGGCTGCTGGCGGCAGTCGCTGGCAGGCCATGCTGGAGGACTGGGAATCCGATCTGGTAGAAGGCGTCTCTGAACATCGCGTCGAACCTTCGAGACGAGTCCAGTGTCTGCCTCTACCCGGTGCGCATAGGTTTAGAGAAATATGTATAGAGAATAAGAATATGTATTTAATACAATTTCTCAGTGGTCTCCACTAGACCGGCATCCGGCTCGTACTGTATTCTGATTTTATTGAATGAGTGCCATCTCTCTCTTCTCGGCAGGTCCATTCCTTCCGTGCGTGGACCTGTTCGACTGGTGGACGCTCCGCTGCGGCGTGTGGGCGGTGTTCCTGCTGGCGCTGCTCGGCAACGGCACGGTGGTGTTCGTGCTCATCTGCAGCCGCAGCCGCATCGACGTGCCGCGCTTCCTCGTCACCAACCTCGCCGCCGCTGACTTCTTCATGGGAATATATTTAGGTAGGTCTATACCACTTACGACGACATTTCGCTAATTGCTAGATTATAGAACGTGAACATTTCCAATTTCAGGCTTCTTGGCGGTCGTGGATGCGGGAACCCTGGGAGAGTTCCGCGCGCACGCGATCGCCTGGCAGATGTCCGGCGGCTGCCGCCTGGCGGGCTTCCTCGGCGTGCTGTCCTCCGAGCTGTCGGTGTACACGCTGGCGGTCATCACGCTCGAGCGGAACTACGCCATCACTCACGCCATGCACCTCAACAAGAGACTGTCGCTGCGGCACGCCGCTTTCGTAATGGCGGCGGGCTGGGGCTTCTCCCTGACCGCGGCCTCACTGCCGCTGCTGGGCGTGTCCGACTACCGCAAGTTCGCCGTGTGCCTGCCCTTCGAGACCAGCTCGCCCGTCGCGCTCGGCTACGTGGTGTCCCTGCTCGCCATCAACGGAGTCGCTTTCCTGGTGCTGCTCGGCTGCTACCTCAAGATGTACTGCGCCATCCGGGGCTCCCAGGCATGGAACTCCAACGACTCCCGCATCGCGAAGCGGATGGCGCTGCTCGTGTTCACGGATTTCCTGTGTTGGTCTCCGATCGCGTTTTTCGCTCTAACCGCCGCGTTCGGGTTGCAGCTCGTTTCTTTGGAGGAGGCTAAAGTTTTCACTGTGTTCGTACTACCGCTGAACTCCTGCTGCAATCCATTCTTATACGCGATCTTAACGAAACAATTCAAAAAGGATTGCGCGCTCGTCTGCAAGGCGATCGAGGAGTCCAGGGTGACCCGCGGCATCGGCCGCTGTCGGCACTCGTCCAACTTCAGCAACCGCCAGACGCCGGCCAACACCAACAGCCTCGCCGAGCGCTCGTCCCGCGGGCAGCACCACGCGGCGTGCGCGTGCCGCCGCCTGTGCCCGCCGGCGCGCCGCCCCCGGCCGCCGCCCCGCGCCGCGCGCGCGACTGCTCGGCTGGCTTTGCGCGGCGTGCGGCCCCGGTCGGCCGCCCGCCGCCGCCCCCGGCCCCGCCGCCCGCCGGCCGCGCCCGCCGCGCACGGGCTCGGTTGTCGTCGTCGGTGGAGTTTCTTCGTCGTCCCGCTCGACTTCGTGGCGCCACGTACGGGCCCGCCGCGCCCCCGCCGCCGCGGGCGCGCCGTGTCGTGGCTGGTTGTCGCAAGGGACGTCGGCAAGGACCTCGAAACCTGTCGTCGTCGCGCAACGACTCGTCCGGGTCCAACGCGACGGCGTCGACGGGCACGTGGCGCACGTCGCGGTCGGGGGGCAGCGCGGCGGGGGGCGCGGGCCGGCCGCGGCTGACGCGCCAGCCCGCGGTGTCGGCCGAGGAGCCCCCGCTGTCCCCCCCCGCGCTGCCGGCGCCGCGCCACCTGCACACGATCCCGTCGGCAGCAGAGGCGGAGCTGCAGCAGGAGGAGCCGGACGCCCGTTGACTCAATGCAGCCGGCCAACATGTACTCCAGCTTGCCGTACTCTTAAATTATTCTAAGTCGTAATCATCCCACGATGCTCCCTTGCACGCAGCGATCTCAAAGTGTCTTAAAGTGCCGTCCATTAGAAGCCACACTCACAGCGTCCCTCTGACCGAATGGATCCGCCGGGTCCTCGCTCCGCCGACGGTAGCTCTCTAGTGAGGCGCCTTCGTTGAATCTTCATCATCAATGGACATACAATTAGATAGTTTTCTACAGAACTACAGTATTACAGTGAACTGTGCATCCGGGATGTTCACGTTTACATGGGTCTAAGAATAAAGTATTACGATAGCATAATAATATAAGTAAATTATTTATTTATTTAGGAAATTTTACATGATAAGATTAGATAACTTTAGATAATAAACCACATAAATTATGAAGTATTTACAATACATTAGTGTGTATCTATCGTGTGCTACGTGTGTTGGTTGTAATGTATTGCAGAGCGCGCACGTACAATATGCTGAATTGTTAAACATTTGAACCAAAAAGTGATCCCCGTCCCCGGCGAGGCGCCGGAATCTGTAATGGACACTTCAACTTATTCCTTTGTTGACGAAACAAAGTGAAATAAAACTGATTTTAAGTAAAATGCCATTATAAAACACTTGGGGCAAACTGAAGGTGTGAAATGCTAGCTCTCAGTCGCTCCCACGGGGCGCACTCACTAGCGGCTGCTTCACATTATTGCATTAATGTTTTAAATACCAGTTGAAACAACAGCTGCATTGTAAAAATTACAATATTAATAACGACATGCAGCCATCGGGGCGGCGCGCGGCCGCGTGTTGCGAGACCCAGGCCAATACTATCAAGTTGTGTAATAAAAACTTTAATTTAATCTTTTTTTTTCGAATTTAAACAGAGGAGCAGGAGATTCCCAGTCAGTGTCGGGCGCACGCGGACCACCGGCCACAACCACAACACGCAGCCGACGACCTATTTCCTGTTGTTTTCATACAGTTTATATGGACTCGCCGCACACGGTTGAGGTCGGTGGCCGCCGCACTCTACTTTTTTTTTTACTGCTTAGATAGGTGGACGAGCTCACAGCCCACCTGGTGTTAAATGGTTACTGGAGCCCATAGACATCTACAACGTAAATGCGCCACCCGCCTTGAGATATAAGTTCTAAGGTCTCAAGTATAATAAATAATGTATGAAAATTAGGGGAATATTCCGGTGGCGGGGTTTTGTGGTTGTGGTCGGTGGCCCGTGTGCGGCGACCCTCAGTGGCTACTTCTGTTCAAACTGTGAATAAAGTAATTCTGTTTCTGAATGGGCAGTTGAAAATTGTATAAGAATATATTATTATACAGTATGTAGACAATATATTAATGCAGTTAAAAATAAATTCTCAACGGTGGAACTGCCGGCCGGAGTCCCGCGACACAGACTCGTTTTTTCATTCGTTTCAATTGTTTTGGGATGACAGATTAATTCAAGGACTTCAACTACAAACATTGTAACTGTTTTAGTTAGAAAAATCTATCTTATTAATTTACTAATAAACAAATATGAACAAAAAAAAACTATAAAATTAATGCAACATTTTGTAACAAATTGCTCATAAATTTAATTTCAGTATTGTTTGTAAAATTATGAAACATTGTAAATGAATTTGTAACATTTTTACGATTAACTATTTGTATGACTTAACTATTAATCTAGAAGTTGTCGTTATTATACGTGACGTCGAATGAGACGAGCTCAGCCTAGTGCCAACTGCTTCTAATATTCACACAACATTTTTTTTGTGTTTATGGCCTGGTTGGTATCTTAAAAGAAACTAAAAGTTAAAATTCATCGACTTAATGTTGGGTAACATTTCCATAAAGTTGTTTTGAGTCCATTAACTTGATAATACTTCTGTCAGGATCTAATCTGCGACATCCTCCTTCCAGCTGTCGTAGCCCCTGTTTTCCATGCATTATTGCTTCATAAATCGGGACAAATTGCCATACTTCGGTATGCTATTCGCATCACAGATTTGACTGACTTCACTCCAAAATTTATCCACTATAAAAGTTTCAGACGTCGAACTAGAGTTGACAATAAATTAGACACGGAAACATCTAATTTTAATTTCCTATATTCTTTGTCAACAATTCGCATGTTTTCTGTTGCAGCGACGAGAATATCGTGATGAATAGGACATCGTGATATCCTTGTGTATATTTATATTTATTCTGATCGGAAAAAAGACAATAACTAATTAACATATTTTACACAACCACTTTAAAGTGTGTGGTCGAATGATAAATCTTATATTATTGTATACTATACGGACACCCGTATCCATAATGTTGCTATTCTACACATCTGTATAATGTAATAAGTGGTATTGCATATTATGTACTTAAAATACTAATCAATATTTTTATGAATACTGCCACGTCAACACAAAAATACTTAGGTATGTAAAAGTACAATTTACAAATATGTACATATATTGTTATTTGAAATAAGACAATTTATAATTTATGGACTTTAATATTAATGATATTAATTGAATGATGTTCAATGTGTATTTGGCAGTATATACCTACTTAAAGTTGGCACACGCGAAGATAAATAACAAAGTTTGTTAAGTTGTTATCATACCTACTTATTATCTATATCCTTTAAAATTTGTTAAAGTAATTATTTTAAAGAAATCAAGACACGGTGCGCACCTGCCTACTACTTCAGTAATGTAGATACCCAACTCATATATCTATATATACTATATAAATGTTGAAGTGAAAGATGCATGTTGATTTGTACATAGTTGTATTTATTGAGGTAGTCGTGTGACGAGTGTTTGAGAGTACCATTTATTTATATACTACTTATATCTATATTAAACAAAATACTTCCATATTTGTGCGTATTATTTGTCAATTTTGAAAAATACCCCTACAAGCTTGAAAAACTGGTTTCAGTGAGACGGTGGAAAAGACCATCAATCAGGGATACGTATTCCATCAGTTTGGCTTTGTGAACTTCATTAAATACTACTAATAATACCGATGTCATCTGTTTTATTGATCAATCGTTTATTTAATGTCTTTGCTAGTTAGGACGCGGGACACCACCCTGCGCGAGGAAACCGAAGAAGTTTTAAGTGCCTCCATTGCTTTTCCATCTTTGTTCCACCTCAGGAGACCTGCCCTGCTTTTTCTCTCGTATTTATTCAGTCTTTTACATTTATAAACTCGTTTTGCCTAAAAGCACATATTTCACTTATGCAATTATCTATGATCTCTAATACAAAAAATATTGGCACTACCAACCTATTTTAATGTTAGAATTATTATGATGCTACTGCTCCACCTGCGTTTTAACGCGTTAATATAGGCGCTACGTAGATGTGGCCAACGTTTTAATGCGTTAAAAACCAATGGCATTAGTTAATGGCGTTAAACGTATTAGTCGACGAGCAGTTTGAATTCCGCGCCCAGCACACGTGCCTCCATCAAGTGCACCGCCTCACAGATCACATCTTAATAGATCTGAATAGGCGAAAGCCCATCCCGACGAGCGCCGTAACGGTGTGATCCGTGGTGTCGAACCGCTGCGCTAGTTCCGATATCGAGTAGGGAGAACTCGCTCTCGCCCCTGCCTTCTAACGGCCGGAGTCCCGTAAGGCTCCGCTCTCTCCCCGATATTGTTTAATTTGTATATCAACGATGTACCGCGGTCTCCGAAGTCCCATCTAACGCTCTTCACCGATTACACGACTCCTTTATAAATCCTTGATAACTGAACGAAATTTCAATTAAATCCGACGCTTTAATGTCGGTAAATATAACGTTCAAACCTTCTGTTACATAGATACATACGAACGTGCGTGTGTACACACATATGTACATACACCGAGCTAATAAAAAAACATTTGCTTCAAATTGCATGCATTATTCGGTAGGAATTTTATTTCGNTTTGTAGAGTGTCACCTTATTTCTAAGGGACATTTTACTTCGCCTACATATCATCGGGTAGAGACGTCCTAGGATGAAGGCGGCACGATCGCGTACCGTCTTGATGTGGGGGCGGAATGTCATCCTACTGTCGAGGGTGACGCCTAAATATTTGACCTTCGGGGCCCACGGTATGGGCTGGTCGTACATCGTGATTGGGCGAACGGCGGGGGCGGGGGTGTTGACGCGCCTAGTCGGGAGAGGGATGCTCAGCGTGGTGTTCGGAGGGCGACCCCTTTTGAAGAGCACCGCTGTGCTTTTCGTGGGGTTAATGTCGATGCGCCACTTCCGGAACCACTGTCCCATGGTGGTAGCTGCGGTCTGAAGTCTGTTTCTTGCAAGGCACGCACCGCCTTTTTATACTAGCCGGCGCAGCTGGCTTATGAGTCACTTCTGTTGCACGAGTGGAACGACACGGCCGGCGCACCCGGCTTGTGTGAGTCACGCCTGTTGCACGTGATGTTTATTAGAGATGTTGTTAACGCCGTCATACACAATATAAGAATATATTATTATACAGTATGTAGACAATATATTAATACAGTTAAAAATAAATTCTCAACGGTGGACCTGCCGGCCGGAGTCCCGCGACACAGACTCGTTGTTTCATTCATTGTTTTGCGATGACAGATTAATTCAAGGACTTCAAATACAAACATTGTAACTGTTTTAGTTAGAAAAATCTATCTTATTAGTTTACTAATAAACAAATATGAACAAAAAAACTATAAAATTAATGCAACATTTTGTAACAAATTGCTCATAAATTTAATTTCAGTATTGTTTGTAAAATTATGAAACATTGTAAATGAATTTGTTACATTTTTACGATTAACTATTTGTATGACTTAACTATTAATCTTTAAGTTGTCGTTATTATACGTGACGTCGAATGAGACGAGCTCAGCCGAGTGCCAACTGCTTCTAATATTCACACAACTTTTTTTTGTGTTCATGGCCTGGTTGGTATCTTAAAAGAAACTTAAGGTTAAAATTCATCGACTTAATGTTGGGTAACATTTTCATAAAGTTGTTTTGAGTCCATTAACTTGATAATACTTCTGTCAGGATCTAATCTGCGACATCCTCCTTCCAGCTGTCGTAGCCCCTGTTTTCCATGCATTATTGCAGCAACATTCTTATTATTAAATCGATTTCGATCTAGATTTTTAATCCTATTAATATCAGAAATTTCTACTTTGACGTTTGAAAAGGGTAGTATTGTCATTTGCTTCATAAAGCGGGAAAAATTGCCATACTTCGGTATGCTATTCGCATCACAGATTTGGCTGACTTCACTCCAAAATTTATCCACTATAAAAGTTTCAGACGTCGAACTAGAGTTGACAATAAATTAGACACGGAAACATCTAATTTTGATTTCCTATATTCTTTGTCAACAATTTGCATGTTTTCTGTTGCAGCGACAAGAATATCGTGATGAATAGGACATCGTGATATCCTTGTGTATATTTATATTTCATTTTAAACTCGATTATAAAAATTCTAAATGAAAAAAATAATCACGGCACGAATGGTAAGGAAAGGAATGAAAATTATATAGTTACAATCCGTTCGATGAAAAGGGGAATACCCCGAATTTACCCGATATGCTAAAAAAGTACCAGAATAACTGAAAAGCGTAAATTCTACTAAAATATACCAAATAACTTTTACATAGTAATACTATCTGTTGCCAGTACCTCAAAATCTGCCAAAAAAGTAAATCTGGTCACACTGATGTTTTGTCAACATTCAACGTCACAAATGTCAGTGGCAAGAGGCAGGCTGCTCGGGACCCAGTGGTTCTACAATAGACAGACAATAGATATCTAAATAACGACGCTTGAGAGGCAAACGTGACTAAGCGACAATGTGTGAACTTTACAGTAGACTAATTTAAAGCTGAAATACCTGAAAAAAAATCTATTTTAACGAATCTAGCTGTAGGATTGAAATTATTTTAATAGACCTAGAAATATACTTTTTGGCGCATCGAATATGGTTATTGCCTATCATTTATGTACAAAGCAGTTAATGTCGCTTAATCACGTTTGCCTTTCAAGCGTCGATATGTAATAAATAATATGATTCGGGTATAAATGCACAGTTACAGATAAACTCCACTAGTTTTTAGGAGCCAT